AGGATGGAAAATATCGTCTCTTTGTGGCGAATTTAGGTAAACAAATATATTTTCATTGATGAAAACAAATTGGGAAATAATCTTTATCTATCACTTGGAAAGTTAAAATAAAGTGGTCTGGTTTGTGTTTTTGGTGAACACATGGGTCCAGGAAAGGAGCCAGAGAAATGAAATTAATGAGGAGAATAAGCCATGCCCTTTCTCCTACACGCTTTAAAAATTTGATTTGTCACAAAGACAGTGATGCCAGCCCTGAGAAGTAGGCAGAGTTAGAATACAGAGAAGGAAGGTGAAAGGAGCAGAATTTAGCCCTACCAGTGCAGAGTAGTGGTGCGAGATGTGAAGTGAAGCAGGTTGGAGTTAAGGGAGGAGCAATTCCTGTGATTACTCCCAAGAAAGGTGGATAATTCTTACCTGTGAGTATCTGAATGATAATTGATCTCTTTTCTACTCTTGGATAAAGATTTGGCGGACAGAAGTGAAGAAATCTTCATTACCAAATCACTGGCTCTGTAATGTGAAGTGAACCAAATATAAGAATAATTTTTTTAAAAAGTTGAAATCATCAAGTAAAAAAATACAAAGGTTTGTTGATAGGATTCAATATATTTATACATATATTAATGCCCCTGACAAAAAATTGTATGTGTTGGAGAATTAAAGCAAAATTTTACTATTATAGACACGCAAAAGGCGATTATCACCCTTTGGTTGAGATGAGGTAGTATGATGACCAGTGAGTTATGTCAGTTCATAAAGTGATGTAAGCTAGTTTTTAGTTAGCACTCCTACAATCAACACATGCCTGCCCACACCAGTTGATATGTAGCCTGCAGAGAAGACAGCCATCACAAGCTCAGAACAGTAGGGCATACAGAAGAATTGAAATGGTTTCATCAGAAAAGACGTCACCAACATACCCTTTTTCCTGTTAGGAAATATTACAAGTAAGACCCTATCTCTTTTTGCCTTTTCACACTGCCTGTTGCATATACATGTGTTATAATTTCTCTGTATGAGACAAATTTGTGATAAGTATCTATATATCATAAAAAAAGTTTCTCAGAACCATGCATGTTTGTCATTCCATGTCATTTATCACAGATATAACAATGCTTATAATGGGGAAATATAAACTGATAATATTCTTTCTTGCACAGAACCCAATTACTATTATTGTTATAACATTTCTTTTTAAGGAATATAGATTAAATTTTATTCTTATCGACAGAAAGAGTATTATTTTTTTCTGAAATACTTTCAATAACTCTTACAAAGCATTTTATACACTTGCGTAATTTTCAAATTTATATAAACAAAGTAATTTTATCATAGACTCTTATTTTAGTCATCTTTTATCAGCTTAACTTTAAGCATTTTCCAAAATATTTTAAATATATTTGAATTTTAAACAGACTGGGATGATTATTCTTTTTTGGAGAAAAATCCACCCTGGACATTCTTATTCAAACCAGCCTTTTTATTAAATATTAAAGAAATTTCCATCTATCCCTTAATTTATGCTTGGCGCATATTAGGACAAAGTGTTTCATCTGAATATTTAATAAAAATAAAAGGTGTGCAGAATAAGGATGCCTCAGGTGGATTTTCCTAAAAAAAATTGTCCCAGCAGACTACCTATTTGAAATACAAAGGTAATTATATCTGTAATTAAAACAGAAATTTCAGTTGTAACTTAGTCAAGAAATTTAGTTCTAAACAGTGCATAAAATCCAATATTAAGGGAGGACTATTCAAATTGTCTTCTGGAACTACTTTTCTCAAGTTCATTATGTAATTTAAAAACTTTTTGACACAAAGAAGCACATAAATGGTTTGTAAGACCAACATTTTTAAAAGTAATTTCATGTTGACAAATGTTTATATGAGAATCATTAAAGAGCATTTCTACAAGTAATTAATGAAGATGTTTTAAGAATATGTCAATAAAACTGACACCTGAAATTCTCTCACAACCTATAAACACTTCCAAAATGAAAAAAACATTTTTGCTCAGGATGAATTTTTTTCTTTATGGAGCATTCCAAAATGCCAAATACGAGAAAAAAAAAGAAATTGTCAAGAAACTATATTTTTATTACAGACTTTTCTGAATCTTGGTTTTATATAAAACCAAATTTGCAATAACTTTTTAGTACTTTTCACACACGTACACATATATATTAATTAGTAACTATCCTTTTTTCTGATTATCCTTCAGCTATTGATGTGATCCCTCTTTACAGAGAATTTGATATCAACTTACCAAGATCAACGAAAAAAAAAAAGAGAATTATTTTTTCTTATGTATTTTCCTGTTATGATGGAAATGACTATTCGTATTTAAGACTCGCACAAAAGATCAATGGTGAGATTTTGCAACTAACGTCACAAAACAATTGCTTGCTATTCCTTTGGACTTGCTTTTACAAATGTTCATTTATATCAGGTTTCATAAAGATTACAGCCCTGTCCTTGTATAGCTATGTTTGTCTACATTTAGAGAGATAGGTATGTCAGAAAAGTAATGGAACCCGGTGTGCTGTGTGAGCTATTGCCGAAAGAGGGGTAAGCATCTGGCAGTTTTCCGATAGGTTTCTAGCAGAGAACATTGCTGTACTGGAACAACATTCCTATTCATATGATCTTGCTGCATGTGACTTTCTTCAAGGGAATCATCAAGGAAAACCATTTGGAAGGTGTGGAGGTCATCAAGATAGCCGTAACAACAGAGCTGAGGAGCATCCTAGAAAAATCCTTCCAGCAGTGCATAGAAGTGTGTCAGAGAAGGATGGAAAAGTGCATTAGACTTGAAGGGGATTACTTTGAAGTGCAAACCATATAGTTTGTTGTTTGGAATTGAAATTGTTTGTGATCCTCGTCCCATTACTTTTCAGACAGACCTTCTATTTTTATTATAATTTGTTCTTAAGCCATTAATGCTCACAATAAAAATCTGCACTATTTACATTATTTGGACTATTGTCCTCATCTTTGTTGCCATATTTATTACGTTTCGGCCATTGTACGCTCCGGCATTCTTCAGGTGGTTGGAATGTTGAACTGAACCCTTTATTTCGCTTGCTGGGGTATACTGTACCATGTGTCCTTGAGGACACATGGCACAGTATACCCCAGTTCAATACCTGGTTAAGGTGGTAGAGAACTTGGAGCGGGGAATTAACAGGAGACAATTGATATAACTGACATCCATTAGACATGGCATGTGGAATTAGAACAGTCTACCCCAGCCAGCAAAATAAAGGGTTCAGCTCAACATTCCAACCTCCTGAAGAAGGCCGGAGTATACAACGGCCAAAACATTGTGATAAATATGGCAACAAAGATGAGGACAATAGCCCAAATAATGTAAATAGTGTACATAATACCTCATCTCAGAAATATAGACATATAATAAAAATCTGGTATTATAAAAATTAAAATAGTAATCAGGGATTAATTACAGGTTCCTTAAAAAGAAAAAAGTATTATAGGTTTATAAATAATCCAGTATTAGTAATAAGTTTTTTAACCTTTAACTCAGTAATGCCTACTGTCCCATTTTGATGATGGTAGGAATTTAATAGGTTAAAGGCATTGCTTTAAAATCATTCATCATTTCTCAGCTAGTTAATTCTGCCCAAATTCTCAGTGGGAAGCCATTACTATTCAGATTTTATTTCCAACCAGAAATGTTAAACTCAATTCTTTTAATAGTTTGTATAAAATAAAGTTGAAAAATCAAGCTAGACAAAGTGATACATACGGTTGGCCTTGGAATTTCATAGTTTCAACATGGGCCTGGATTTTCTTGGCAGCTGTCTGCATCAAGTGTTTTTCCAGGAGAGAAAAATCTTCTTGAATAAACTGCTCATCTGTGCCCAATGGTCCAATGACCTGTAGGAAACAAATGAAAAAAAACTCTTAAGCCTCTGACAGACCAACTCTACCTGAAAAATAACAGTTTCAAAGACACTGGAAACAAATAGAGGAAACATTGGAAATTAGTAAGAAAGAACTAGTTAAAATATCCCTAGAGATGAATAGTGAAACAACAACAATCTACCCTAGTACATTTAGTTAAGGATTCAGTTTGAAATTCCTTGTAGGTTACCAGTTGAAGGAAGCCAGGGATCATAATAACTGAAACAATGTAATAATAAGCTTGAATGTAAATAATGGCAACTCATCATCACAGAAAATCACTCACAAACTTTCATTTTATACGCTATGGAACTAAGATACTTAGCCTAAACCTTATGCATTCTCTATTAATGTGCTTTTTAAATTGTAATTGTCTTACTTAAATGTCGATTCATGTTGTATTCACATATCAAATATCATTTTACTTGGAATCTTCTCCACACTTCGATATGAGTTGATATGAAATTTTTTTTTTTGAACATTGACTTTTTCTGTCTGAATTTCTGGAATGAGGAGTTATCATTATTTAGATTATTTACATTCAGACTATTGTTCTGATCTTTGTTGTGATAACTATCAAAAATGATGAGGGCTAGTCTGAATGTAAATTTGGTAAATAACATTGATTTCTTTAAACATTTTCTTAAGTTGATTTTATCATTAATTTGTTCCTCTGAAAATAATTTCCAATTTCACTCCAAGCTTGATTTGCAAACAATAGTTATAAAAAGGTTTGTTTATAGTTCAAAAAATAGTTTATAGTGAAAAAACAAAACAAAAAAAAAACAAACATTTGTTCCATTTGATTCCATTTATCTATATATAAAATTCTGTGACTGCTTTTAGCCTGTTCGTCACACACTCTAAAATAGCCATACATTGACCAATCAAAACCAAATTTTGGAGGGAAGTGCAAACAAGTAAGTGGATACAAGGTACAGTTGGTTTTACTAAGATGGGTAGTTTAATACAATAAATTTTCATTAATTTTTGGGGAAAAATTAAAAGTTTTATTATTTAACATACAAAATACTCCCACTATTTTAAAAACAATTTAATGATTAAAATAACAGATACTTAATAAAAATGCAATATTGTTTTTTGCATATCTTTAAAGTTTTTATATATATTTAATTCCAGAAAAAATATAATGCACTGTAAATGCACAATAGGGAGAGTAGAGTTTGTAAATCTTGACAAAAAAATATTAGTGTTAACTTCAACAATACTAAATACAGTAAGGATTTCAACACATGTCGGCATGTTGCAAAACATTCTAGTAATACTAAAACTCTAATCTTGTGTTAAACGATACATAAAACCCCAATCAATATAGAAGCATATTGTACCTTGAATGCCTGTTGACTGCAGTGACAAATTTCATTAAAATTAGACAAGAGGTTCTTGAGATGGGCCATTTTTTAAAAAAATTTTACAGCATTTTTAATAAGAAATTCAGTATTTGTTTTCAGTACAAATTTTTATATCAATTTATATATAAACAAACACTTACATAGTATATTCTAAATATTATGTGTGAAAAATAATAAACATTCATAATACATTATAACAACATTATTAAATAAATTTAAATATTCATGACAAAAAATATATTTATACAATTACTACATCAAAAAATTTTTTTTATGTGTTACATGACTTATTAGTAAATAGATGGATGCTGATTTGCAGTAATTACATATTTTGAAATAAATGCAAGAAAGAAACAAATATGCATAATAAAAACATACTTATTACTTTGAAAAAGACAATACCTGTTTTAAGTAATTACTCCAAATGTTCATGCAATGTGTTAACAATGAAACCCAGTGGAACAATAAACCTTCTTCTACCAGCTTTAGTATTATTATTTTTGTATTCAAAGTACATTATAGTGAAGAAAATTCTCTTTTAATGTAAAGAAGTAAAACATATCTATTGATATCAATAAAATAATTTTCATACTTTAAATGTGGATATATTTGAATTAAGGTGTTTTTGGTGCTTTTCATTCATTTTTAGGCGGGGGAAAAATGTTTACTTATTAACTAATAATTAATAAAAAAAACATACTTATTATTTTGAAAAAGACTACACTTGTTTTAATCTATTACTCCAAATTTTCACGCAACGTGTTAACTATGAAGCTCAGTGGCACAATAAAACTTTAGTGTTTAAATACAAATTAAAATGTGTAATAACATTGATAATATTGTTACCTCATCATTTTGTATCATGAACTGCTTTTAAAAGGAACCCAACAGGTTTATGGATGATCTAGTATTGTTTTAAAGTCTACTTATAAAATAGGAAGAAAATGTTATCTTTTATCATGTTCTGAGAACAAATAAGAAAACGTTAACAAAATCATGCATAACTATTAAGAAAACAAAATGTTGGTTACCTATAAATATTATTTTAAATGTTACCTTCATTTTTTTCCTCTGTTTAAGCATAAATTTTTCTTTAAGCATTAAATAGAAAATGTTGCCAATGAATTTTGACTATAGAATTATATAGTGTTGCATTCCTTAGACTACACCAATGATTCCAAAAGTCGGTAGTACTGCTCCACAACCCACTGGCAGCAGTAGAAAGATCCAGGAGGGGCATGAGAAAAAAAAGTAGCAGCCAGAGAGTGGCAGTGTCACATCTAAAGTATTACATACACCACACTGTACCTGAAGTGTATCTAGCTTTCACTTTAAATGACAATTATTGTGGGAAATATTAAGATACTCATCTGACATGCAATACTAGCATCAAGAAAATCCAATCAAAAGTTGACTATACATTGTGAAGGCGGATGTTAGGGCTAGGTTTTGGTATGCAAAGAGACAGCAACCCCAAAAGTTTGTGAATCACTGATCAACACAATCTCTTGTTCCACTGAATAATGCTTGTAAATAATGAGATCTGGGAGGGCTGAGTAAATTCATAGAATCAAAGTTAGGGTGATACCTGCAGCCTCTCTCGACAAAGAAAAGATTGCAGTGAGATCCACTTCTATTGCAATCCTTAAATAAAATAAATAAATAAAATAAAAAAATAAATAAATAAAATAATATAAAATAAAATAAAATAAAATAAAATAAATAAATAAATATGAAAACTGCAAACCTTTCCATTGCCAATCACAGCTTGCACACCAGGACTCAACTGTAAGACACGGCTGACAAAGGAAGAATGAGATTTCAAGAAACTGCCATCTTCTTTGTCCAGAGTGGCTATGTATTGGTCAATATCCATCCCCTAAAGATGAAGAAACAAAAATATGACAACATTGTAAAGGTCTACATTAATTTTTTTTCACACTTACCAGGAACAGCATTTATTAAGTTTATTTGACATCATCTTTATATCAACCATCAACATGAAGGATGCATATTTGAAAGAACATACCTTGAACATGTCAATCAACAACTTTAAAAAGAATATTAATAATTAAGTTATTCTATGTCTAAATAACCAAGAACATTGCATGTGTGTCCACTAAAAATACCCAAGAAAATGGAAAGAAAATGTTCGAAACAAATGATTGTTTAGTCCTACTCATTGGGCAATGGTTAATGTATAAGCATTGAAAAATTCATCTTTATTGGCGTAACAAAAATAAATATATCAGGCTTCCTCATAAAGACATATGGATATATAAAAACATACACACACACACTCATGTCTATGGGTGGCCAACCTGACTCAATTTCCAAAATCTAATCAAATGACCAAACATTGTAATTTTTAAAGGGAATCCCTTTTTAGTTGGGTCAAGTATGTCTTAGTAGATTCCTTTGTGTATGTGTACACACACACACACACATTAGTGTATTTGGGCAGCAATCCCACTTTTAATCAAGTTTCATTAAAGACGACTGATAAACTTCGATTAAGCTTTTCATTTAATTTTTCTTGCATTTGTACAAGTGTTTCCTTTCCTGGACATAAAGTGAGCAAAAATTGTCCAAATTTTCTGTATGTCTGAATGCTTTTGGCTATTCTATTAGCCATTATTCAAGATTTTTATTTTTATCTGAATGAATGGATATATTATATATGTTATAGGAATGTTATATATATATATATATATATATATATATATATATATATATATATATATTTAAAACCTTGCACTTAGAACACCTGATAGTGCTTGATGAACACCAAGCTCGTACTGAATGCTATTGTTGTTGTAGTAGGTTTGATCTGTTGTACATTTTGTATTAGATTAAACTATGCTTAGTAAATTTAGACACAATCATTATGTGTGTGTGTGTGTGTGTGTGTGTGTGTATATATATATAAAAAAAATATTTAGGCAGTAAGAATTCAATCAAACAAGTTTTAGACAGTTTATCAACATTTTTTAAATACAATAAAAAAAATTAGGCAGTTTGAGACTTATGTAAAAACAAGCATTTTCTTTTATTTTAATCATTTTACACTAAATGATAAATCCACTAAGACACAAGGAGTTATTGATAGTGAAAGAATCAGAACAAAAAAAAAAACTTTGAAGAGAGTGGACAATGAAAGAACACGATTCAAGGAAACACAAGATGACGACTCATGTTGTATTTAATTTTTTTTTAAGATCATAATTAACAGGAAAACAAGCCAGAAGAGACAGGTAAGAAATGCAAGAGAAGAACACATCACAAAAGAACTTGCAATTAGCAACAGTAAAATAATGTGACCTTGCTACCAATCTAGTACTATGTTTAAATTTAGAAAAGTCAAGGTACCAAAGAGGAAAGCTTGTTAGAATAATTATCAGGAAAATATTTATTAAAAAGCTATGTTACAGCAGCAAGAAACTGACTTATGTGAAGTTCGTATTTAAGTGTAAAAAAAAAAAGTTATAACTTTAAAGTTATGAAGAAAAGAATTGGAGTAAGAAAACTAAAGACTTAACACAAAAATTAAGTTTTAATGAAAATAAAATTCATGTTTTACTTACATTGACTTCCAAATCCTTTAATGTTTTAGTACCAGCTTTTAAATTTTTGACGTATTCTTCTTTGACAAGTTTAGTTACAAAATTCTTTGCCATATTTCCTGTAAGGGTTGACATGGCAATGTATACAGCTCGACTGATGAAGTTATCTTTGTCCAAGTGGAGTGGATTGAAAATTATACCAACACGCATATGATTGGAAAATCTCTGGGAAACAGAAGACAAGAAACATTGTAATACATCATCAGTTAGACATATATAGCTTTCTGGAATAAGGTAGTTTCTTAATAAGGGCCTTTATTATTTTTTTTATTACTATAGGTGACATTGACATACAAGAAGGCTGTTCTCTATGATGAGAAAGCAGAAAAAAATCATTTGCCTCAGGAAACCATGAGTAGCAAACACTATTTTCAGTTTCACAGTCAAACTCTTAGTCTTGTGACTTGTTTGCACCAATGGTTATCATTCATTAGTTTCCTAAACATTAAAGTATTAAATTTAGATATGCAATCATTGTGTGTGCATATATATATATATATATATATATATATATATATATATATATAATTATTTTTATTATAAGAAATTAATTATAATAAAAACATGTTGAAATTGCTCCACAAAGCTTTCATGCTTCAATACTTTGATTGTACTTCTTCAGGTGATGGTAAGTAATTGGTGATAAATGATTTTTATGAAATTTTAAACACAAAGTATAACCTCTTTTCCAAAAATTAAAGTTGGTGTTGGGGAACATAAGGTCAGAATTAAAATAGACTTGTGGGTGTGTCTTGATTAACCAATTGAATGTCAGATCTGGACTGAATAGAAAAGTAAGCTCAAGGGGTGAGTTATTTTTTCATGTCATGATAAACCAGAATATAAACTGGCCAAAATTGACAATAATGGAAAATATGTCTACCACAAATGTATCTTGATTGCAGACAAATATGACATGTTTAATTTTTTTGAAAGGATCTTAAAGAGAGGAGTAGGTTAATCAGACAAAAGTTAACTGATGATTTTTCTGTTTCTATTTTTATTCCTATGATCACTGTTGTTATGTTTTATATATATTTTGATGTCAAGGCAATTATAGCCACTATTTTTTAAATCAGTCTTATAAACTTACTATGTTTGTAAAAGACATCTTCACTGGAAGAGCTATTGCTAATCCTATATTCTATGGAGGTGGGTATGTGTTTGATCATGTATGGAGAGCAGTTAGAATTTGGGTGGGTATATACTGGACTGGCATTTGTTTTCATGAAGGGTTGGAATGCATTACTAACTAGGTCTAGGAAATCTTTTTTTTAAATTAGTGTTGATCTTAACTTTAAGGTTGAGACTTAAATTCTCAATGTATTAATTTCCTGATTTTTGTGGAATTTTTCACCAACATAAGGCCATCATCACTATATAAGCCTATATTATTAATGTTGATATCTTGGTGGGCACTAAGATTATATAAGATAAATAAACCAACAAAGTTGGAAGACTCAGCAGAGTCTAACAATCCCTCGGAAATATCAAATTGGTCAACAGAGGGGGAAGAATAAATCAGGAAGTTCATATTATGAGGATATGTAGGATAGATAATGACTGGACCTGAAGAGGTTAAAATTGTAGTGGTCATGGAAAGTATTCTCTTAGGAGTCTGTTCAAAAAAGTATTGAAATTTATGTAAAAAGAAGCATGCATAAAATGGTTTATCATTGTCACATGTCTGTCATATTTTATTATTATTGTCACATGTCTGTCATATTTTATTCTTGTAATATGGTGTCAAATGCATACAAATTTACATACAAAGAGAGTAAAATTACAATCCAGTTTGCATTTGTGTAGAAGAGAAGCAGGTTGACATATACACAAAATAAAAGATTATGTCAAGAGTGTATCTGGCACAGAGTTGTATTACCCTGAATAATTGGCTGTTTGGAGATGACAGTCTCTCAACATAACATCATTGATAAATTTTCATGGCAGATGTACTAATTTCTATGAGAATGGTTATGCTTGTTTTTCAACAAATCACAGCCTCTCTATGGTTGTATCTACTGGTAGATAACAACAACATCTTTCAATGTTAGGAGGTGGATCAGTTGGTGTTGACAGCTGGGAGATCATTTCTTGGACTATTTTTGACTGTTCATTTTGCTGCCAGTTGGATTCATAGCCATTCATTTTGCTACAATTTGCAAGGATTAGCTGTTATTTTATAATTCTACAACTTCTTGATTTTCCTAACATTAAAAATCTGTTTCTAGTGCTGGTACTATGGATGCCAAAGGCAAAATGTTATTATCGATCCTAACAATGATACAGTTTTCCTAAAAATATTTTAGGCTTTTTTTTGGGTAGTGGGGGTAAGAATTTATTAGTATAGATTATTACTGTAAAAAGATTTTTTTTTTGTAATGGGTAAATATTTTTCATATCTGTTGGTAACAATTTCTTCTGTCAGACAAATTTTAACCTCACAATTATCATTTATCAATCTTAGTCTTAAAATTTTTACTTATTCACGAGTGTCTCTAACTGACTCTTTATGTTCAAGGGCAGACAATAGTTACTTTAATCAAATACTTTAGATACTATTAGGCACGAAACATGTAAAGATCAAATTCTAGATTTAATTCAAATATAAAAGAAAATATACACAATCATGTTTACATGATGAAATATAAAAAATTTAACTGCATGCAAAAATGAAGCAAAACATTTGTGAGCCAGGCTGTATTTTAAAGATTAAAAAATACAGCTTATGACATTCATGAACTTAAAAAAGAGAAATGACTGTAAAACAGAAGAGTAGTTTCCCTTGATAAATGTATGTGAGTGTTTTTTTAAATGATCTTTTTAAAGGTGTTTGGAGCAATTTTATAAAATCCTCCTTTATGTAAACATTTCAATATCCTTATATTCAAAGTTAAAACTTACCAAATTTTTAATGGCAGTGTAAACTAATTCTCTTCCTTTTGGAGATTCAACATCAGCAACAATCCAAATGGAAACAGCACGAAGAGAAGAATCGTCTAGGGAAGAAAAATGGTAAAGTCAGCAAAGTAACAATTATATGCAAATGAAATCAAATTTTATAATAAATTTAATCAGAATTTTTTGAATTCTGAGTAATTTTAAGAGTTGCAATGTCTTCAACAAACAAACTATCAACTTTTTCTTTTTATTGTAATTTTTTTTTTTTTTTTTTAAATATAGAAAAATGACCAGTGGATCACATATTTGAACTGGTAAACTCTAAAAGGCAGCAACTTGGAAAGAGGATTTGCTTGAAATATAAACAGAACTATGAATGAATGTGAAAATAAAGAAATTGTTATTGATTCCCAGCTCGCTATGCCAAGAAACTCCTGAATACAACAGTTGATATATAATATGAATGTGTACATGTGAGTATGTATGTATATACTGTTTAATAAATAAATGGAGCACCAACTCAAATACAAGTATCCAATAAAAATAACATTTAAAATGATAAAAATATGTTGGATTAATAAAAATTTATCCATTCTAAAACTTCTTTGTTTATGTTTAAATATGAAACTGTGCTGATATGAAAACTTTTGAGAGATCTATATTGAGAGATGTCTCACTAAAAGGTACAATTTGGGTCTTGCCTGACTAACAGGTTCTTTGTATCTCAGTTGGTTAGAGCATATCAGATTTAATGATTACCCAGAGAGATGTAGGTTCAAATCCTGCTAGTGAGTAAATTTTTCTGTAATAAAACTTCTTGAATATTCAGGTCAGTAGATGAAAATAAATATACTGGCATCTATTCAAATATTCACTAAAAATAACATTTAAAGTGATGAAAATGTATATCATATATAAATTCTGAAAGTGTAGAATTTTTTCAAGGCTAAAACAAAATAAATAAAAATAGCTCTGTTTATGTAATAATAATAAAACCATATAATAATTATCAATGTGTATTTATATATTTCCTGTCCCATCTACAGTAGGAAGGGAAGTAAATCAACTTTGTCGTCACTATCTTTGTCATTCAGTTGCAAATCTTTTCCTTCTGAGATATATTTCCATTTCACTGTTATATTAAACACATGAAATTTTTAACAAGATTTTGTGCAAAAAGCGATTTATACCAGAAGTAATCAATAAATCACAGATACCATCAAGCATCTAAAAATATAAAGGGAATAGATTAAGTAAATAGTTCATTGGCGTCTCTTTTAGTTATGAATATTTTATCTCCATTTTATTGAATCTCAGTAAATTGTGTCAAGAGTTGTTTCATTGCATCTCGCTATTAAAACTTTCTAACAATTGCTGCCATATTTTACATGCACAGTTACACTAGTAATAAAAAAAAAATGATAATGTGCTAAAAATCACGTTAACTCGTTATTTTTCTATACAATCCACAAAAATAAAAAATAAAAAAAAAGCTGCCTACCTTTTCGTGCCAAATAGTGCATATTTTGGGCCATCACAGATGACATGGCTTTTACACTAAGGGACGAAAAAGCCTCTGAATCAGAATAGATTTCTTTATCTACAAAGAAAGAAATTTATGTCAGTTTTCAATGTAAGATTATAATAAACATTAATTTGGAAAACATCCAAAGATATTTTAACTTTCAATATAACAATTTATAATGAAAAAAAATAATCAGACATGATAAATATTTAGAAAAATAATATTAAATATATTAATATCAATTAAATCTACAAATTCAGAAGATTCTTTTAGACTATATTTATTTTATTTACATTCGGACTATTGTCTTCATCTTTTTGCTATCACACCGTTTCAGCCATTGTGCCCTTCGACCTTCATCACGGGTATATCAAGCTGGGTAACTTACCCATTTGTGAAAATGGGTGAGCCATAACTGAGCCGTACAACAAAGAGTTCATGTACACACTATCTGGCCCAGGCATTGAACTCACAATTACTTTGTCACTAAATTCACAAACCAACTTTAACCCACTAGCCTAATGGATTAAAGTATATTTATTTTGTATACTTAAAGAGGAGTTGGGCTCAAATATAGATCAAATGTGGATCAGAATCCAATAGAATACAATAAAGAACAAATAGGAAACATTTATCAATATAATATTTCATTTTTATTAAGCTTCATCAGGGAATAAACAATTAATAAAAGTGAAATATGTTAGATTGATAAACGTTTCTTATTTGTTCTTTATCAAATCATATTTAAAAGATGCAAACTACAGAACAAATTTCATACTAATAGTTGCAAATAAAATCACCTGGAGACATTAGGTCAAACCCCAGACCTAACCTATCTTGCAGGAGTTAATGTTGGATTTTCAGTTCAAAGGTATTTGTACCGATGAACAATTCATTCAGACTAGAAATACTTTTCAAGCCATAAAATTTCTACTCACCAACATTTTCGGTTAGATCTAGGTACATAAGAGGGGAAGAAAGAATCCGAGAATTGATCCGTGGCAGTACATTTTCCTTCTCCATCAGCCAATCCAACATATTCATATTATCAGTCAGTTCACCCTGAGGGAACAAATGAAAGAAAACACCATCAACAAAGCAAAAAATATACATTTTTTTTCAAATACACTTATTAACACAAAGTTGTTTGAGAATTATTCCATTGATCATTCTGATGAGTATCTCCATCTTTACTGTTTTGATTATTTTATTCTTGTTGTTTCTTCTAGTCTTTTTGTAATATTACATCGCTTGTGTTGTTAATGAAATTTTTGTTGCCATCTACTCAAATGAAAAGATTCATATATCTCAAAGAAAAAAAACAAAACATTAAAGGCCTTTTTTTATGCCAGATTAACATTAGTAATTTTGTTATTATATACAAAAAGCAACAAAATTCTTCCTTATACAATTCTAAGACATGAATAATGATGGCAATATGCATGTGCCAACTTATTGCTGTACTTTGCACTTTCATGTAGTTGGTCTTTTCACTAGCTGGCTTTGTAAACATCTTGGAACAGTTTGCAAATGTCATATCAAAGACAATGCAAGGAAGAGAACTTTATACCAGCAATAGTTTTCCAATTATTATTGTAGTACTTGGTTCTTTCATGGAGTCAGTGTTTTCACTTCCTGGCTTTGGAACAATCCAATATTTTCATAAAGATACTGACATCTAGTGCAACACACTAACAGAGCAAAAAGATAGAAATACCAGACAAAAATAAAGTTAGTATATTATATACATAATTAAACTGTACTCTGTGAATGGAAGTTTTTAAAAGAGAAAATATGTGAAAAATTTAATAAAATTTGCTGTGAACTAAGTGTTTAATACCAATAAGTAAAGGTGGTAACACTTCAGATTTACTGAATAAACAGTGGAGTAAGTAAGGTTCATATTCAAAAGAATAACCAACAACAAAAATTTCACCAAAAGAAGTTGAGAAAATAAGCCTAATAAAATCTAGTTGCAATGGTGGTGTTGGCAAAGTAGTAGTAGAAGAAAAAAGAGGAACAGTAGTAGTAGAAGGAAAAAAGAAGAGCAGTAGTAGTAGCAGAAGAAAGAAGAAGAGCAGTAGTAGTAGAAGAAAAAAGAAGAGCAGTAGTAGTAGTAGAAGAAAAAAGAGGAGCAGTAGTAGTAGTAGAAAAAAGGAGTAGTAGTCAAAGAAGAAAAAAGTATTAGTAATAATAGAAAAGAAGGATTAGTTGTAGATAGAAAAAGTAAATGATGTAATGTAAGTAGTAAAAAAAAAACAACAAAAAAATTGTGGACAGAAAGAAAAATATAGCAAGTTCAATCTAAAAAGGAAAATGTTAAAAGCAAATATATTTTTCCCCCAACTTACATGATAGACAGCTCTCTGAATTTCATGTGTGCCATGTAATATTTCTGAGACAATAGCTTCTTCCAGCATATCAGCATTTAGATATTTTTTCTTGAGAGGTACACCATTAACTAATACCTGGGGGAAATCACTTAGGCCAGACCTTTTCACAAAATCTGCAGCAAACTGAAATGCAAAACAAAATTCCAATAAAGTAAAAACAAAGCAAAACTGGTTTTGTAATTGAGTTAGCCATCATTATACCAAAAAGTGAACACTGGTGCCACTTGGAAAACCTAAGGCTGAAGGTTAGGGTTAGTTAGAAATTTTGAAGACAAGCAATAAATATCTACACTACAAATTTTCCAGCAACTTTTAGCTTAACAGAACTTTCTAACAGTCAATGATTCTGTAAAGATGCAATTGATCTATTAATTAGATTTATTACTGAATTAAGATTGCTGGATTTCTGATTGTCTGGCAAAATAGATGATCAGATAAGGTTTGGGAAACAAGGATGCTGTGCTTAGTGTTAACAGCTATAAAATAAAATATATATCTACCTTTTCCTTAATGCCTTGACTGCATGAATTTAAATGTGCTACTAGATTTGCAACTAGGTAGATGTAACCACATGGGCTATTTTAATAGTTTCTTTTCTTGCCTTCTGATTTTTTGCTTCCCTGCACTTATTTAAATGCAACGTCAATCGCCATCTTCTGTCTTCCTGAACTATTTTCCTTTATTCTCCTCTGTAAAGCTTTCTCTTTCACTCTATGTAACCCCTTGAGTCCTAGTGGCATTATCGCTTTGCTTGGTGTGAAAGGATTAAAAAAAATCTATATGTAAACAAACATGCATCTAGAAGAGAAAAACTCTTGGTGGTCATGTGTTTTTAAATCAGGTAAATTGATAAAGTCTTGCATTAAATCAAATGATTCTAGAAAGGTTTTCTTTTCTAATGACTTTACAGCAAAATCTTAAAAGCAATTTTATATGACTTGGCTGAGATGTACATAGTACTTAAATAAAAAAAATATATTTTTCTTCTGAGTTTAACAAGGTCTCTCTTGTTACACCTGTCCTTCAGAAATCCAAATGTTTAATCAGAGCTAAAGGATTGCTTCTCTTCTGTAATGCAGATACTCTGCATTATATTCCACATTGCTGGGATGAGCAAAAACAAGTGAAAATAAGACAAGTATATTTTAATACATAATAAAACAACTTTTATTCATTTACTGCCTGAGAACAACAAGGATTAGTTGGGATTTAAACCATGAATTCAACATGTGTGTCAGCATGTCAGATTCAGAATTGTCGCACTGACTGGCGGACAAGGGAAGAAACTCATTTGTACTTTGAGTTATTGTCTTTTATAAGGCGAGTAAGTTAGCATCCCCTAACACTCTGCAAAAGACTAATTACGTTCAGTATATATAATGGGGCAACTAATCCTAAAATGACAAGAATATTCAGGGATTGATATTTTAACTGGTATTTAACAAATACAGCATTTTACATGAAAAGTGGTGAGAGTCAGCATTGGAGACAAGAGCAAGGTAAACACAAACCTGTCTGAATTAAGAGAATGTTACTTTTAATTAGCAAAAGAACATGGTGTTTGGGGTGCAGAGAAGATACAGAGAAGGAAAATGTCTCTTACCTTCCTTAAATCATCATAGTCATCATCATCGCCAAATAGCTTGTCAATGTCTTCATCTGTGAAACGAGAACTAAACTCGCGTATTATAAATTCTGAAGTAATTTCTTCGGTCTTTCCTTTTTCATACAGCTGTCAAAAGAAATTGTAAATGGTTTTAAGAGTTGAAATAAGAAAATAGTTTTATTTTAAAGTATAGGCTGAGTATTGGCAAATTGAAGATAGTGTGCTTAACCTCTCATTATATATATATATATATATATATATATATATAAGTTCATTAAAGATGACTAAAAAGGTACTGCAATTAAGCTTTTTATTCAATTTTTCTTGTGTTAATATAACATTATATATAGTTTGTTTGTTTGGGTTTTTATGCCATATCAACCACTGTGGGTTATTTAATGCCAAATCCATCTTATATATATATATGCCAAATATATGAATTTTAAATGCCTATTTTGTATGGAACATTTTTAGCAAGCTAGAGCTTATTTGCTTGCACACTGCAAAATAATCCTAGGTATTTTTTGTTTAAGTCAAGAATTTCCATTTGATTGTTGATTGTTTTGTTTAACGGCATCTCAACCTTAGTGGTCACTTTATGCCGAAAATGATTTTGAGTGACTTTAAAAGTCAAAAAGGTATAGCTGGCAACATTATGGTTTCAAAAACGTATAGCTGGCAACATTACTTTTCCGAAAACATTATCTGAGGCCTTGCTGTTGGATGCAGTTTAACGTCATACCCAGGACGCGGATGTAGTTTATTGTCATACCCAGGACGTTATTATATATAGTACTTTTGGCTATTCTATTAGCTACTATTGAGGATGTTTTATTTATTTTTAACTGAATATGTACATTTTTTATATATGTGTATCAATAGTGATGGCAATGTTTTTTTTTTTATTTTCTAAAGAAGGCCAGCACATTGTGTAAGTGTACATAATTGGTATTACTGAGTGTTGGCTTTTTCTTTTTTATTATTAATGCTTCGATTATTTTTAGTCTTGTTTTCCCCTTTTTACATGTGGATGTAGCTATCATAGTTCTATTTTCTATGAACATGTTATAGATGGGGTTTGGTAGGTTTGTGTGTGTGTTTAAATGGGTCCTAATTGAGTTATGTCCTGAAAAGAAAACACTTATACAAGCAAGAAAATTTGAATAAAATGCTTAATTGCAGTAACTTGTCAATCGTCTTTAATGAAACTTGTATAAAAGAGGGATTACTACCCAAATACACTATATATATATATATATATATATATATATATATACACACACACACACACATCTATACACACAAAAGGGCACACTGAAGCTTTTGACTCAATTTATAGTCAACATTGGTTTGGTGAAGTTTAGATTTTTGGTTGGATTGTTGCTAGTGATTGTTACAAGTTTTTAAAAATTTTTGTAATAAGTGATGAGTTTAATTTGTTTTTGCCAACAGGTGGCATGTACCTGGGCATTTGGTTACTTTCATTTTATTTGTGTAACTTGTTTTATGAATAGTTTAATGCCTGTTTTTTTATGCTATTATTTGCATTGCTGTTTTTGTTTTTTTTATGTTGATTTGTTTGTCTATAAAGTGATTACAAAAATTGTTAATTTGTGACACAATGGAACCCAGCCATGGCTCAGGACACTGACAAAGTGGACTGTGAATATTTTCATCTGAGATGAAAGTGTCTAGTTTTTTTATGACCAGCAGTAAAGCCTAAAAGTAAGATCTTCAATACAACCACTCACAGTCCAGAAGTAAAAGAAAGGAAATAGAGTAAATGAATTAGCAATTCCGAATCATTATCCATTACATCACCTGCAAATCCAAGCTTACATTATTTGGTATTCCCAAGCAGTCACCCATCTAGGTACTGACTAGGCTCAACATTGCTTAACTTCAGTGATCATATGAGAACCAATGTTTTCACATGATATGGCTGTGGGGTAAACCTGTAAAATTGTTGGTCTTTTGTAAAGAGAAAGTGGGGGAAATTCTAACAATTTGAATATTTAAAAATGAAATGTTTAAGAACATGCATTGGGTTAAATAGAGTTTATTTTTATCTTTTGTGATGTAATTGTAGGGATTAACTGAAATCTGAAGGCAAATTAGAATAATGGAAGACCCCTTGCAAGAGCCAAGCAAAATATTAAGAAACAGGAAGAGTTTGTTAGAAAGGAGTGCTGAACTGCTATGTAATATCAGTCCTCCTATCTTGCTGCACAGGTGAAGTAACTTGATGTGGTTCTACAGAAGGATGATGAGAATACCATGGATGGAGGATGTGCATAACAAGGAAGTTTTAAGGAAAATGGAAGCAAAAAAGATGGTCTTAGGATCAGAAAGAGGCAGATGAAATTTCTAGGACACATAATAAAGAGGGATTGACACATTGATGGCAAGGAGGAGCAGAGAGAAACAGCAAGTAACCTACCTAACAAACTTGTGTAAATGGATGACAGAACAGGAACTGGGAGGGATGGTGAAAAACCAAACCTTACTAAGAGCTACAAATGATAGGAAGTTAGGGAGAACCATGATTGCCCAAGTCCTGAATGGAACATACATTGAGGAAGTAGAGTTCATTTTCATATTTTCTAATGAGGAGAATTTGTAGCCATAAGGATAAACTTCCTTTGATTTAAGTGGGTCTTTCTTGGCATCTGAACAAAACTGAAAGAACAATTTCAAAATTGTACTTACATCTGTGATAAAAGACAGAGCTGATGCTGGATCCTGATCAGCCTTAATGTACTGGAAAGTCCTGGCCATGGCCACTCCAGGATCCATTCGCCCATCCAATTCTTTACTAGCATTAACAGCAAATACAATTCCAATCCTGTAAGCAAAACAACAAAGGAAGTAAATATTCTGTTCTTCATATTAAAACTTATCTGTAATTTACTTAGATACTGGAAGGAGTATTGGAGATTTTACATGAACACAAAATGACAGGGAATAGGAAAGCTTTCTCTAGCAGAGATGCTTATTGATAAGTTCAAATCTAAACAAGCTGGACAGAGAATACTTTAAAAAAACTGAGTTTCCATTTTTAATTTAATAAATTTAACATTGGTGAAGTTGTACAGGGTGTAGCAGAAATACCTCCCACATTGCTAGTGGCAATGGTATCTTCATCTAGTTAATGTATTACCATTTTTTTCAGATAGCATCAACTACCATCATGGCTTGGACTGGTGCACATCATGTGTTTGCTTGTGAAACATTTTTTAAGAGTGGTGAATCTGTAATTGCAACACAGAGCTTTTCATGTTATATTGGAATGATTATGTGCTGGGTAGAAGTTAGATACTTCTATGGGTTGAAAATTTCAGGGCCACAGGTTCAGTGCTTTAAAGAAAGTCACCTGGAAGTTCTCGAAGTGTTCAAACTATAGAAAATGTCCAGGTTGTCAAGCTCACTTTTATCTGTTTGTGTCAATAAGTAGAATTTTCTCTACTGAGTGGAAAATAACCTGTTTTAGCTTCATGGAAGACCTCTACACAGCAAACAAGTGACTCTGTGGCGCACAGTGGTGAAATTTGGTTTATGGGGTCCTTACTTTTTTGATAGGGAGAGACCATGCAAAGTAACATCTGACTGGTATGTGTAGATGCTGTGGACCTTTCTGGAACCAAAACTCAGAGATCTTGGGAATCTGGATGTGTGGTTTCATCAAGATGGAGCTACTGCAAACACAGCGAGAAGATCAATGGAAGCTGTGAGAGAAATTTTTCCAGGACATTTGATTTCCTTACACTGTGACATTCAATGGCCTGCATGCTTGCCTAGTCTTTCCCCCTCTGAGTATTTTCTCTGGGATTACTTGAAAGCTGGGGCCTATAAACATCAACCAGCAACCATTGAAGTATTAAAGGATGCTATTCACAAAAAAATGGCAGAAATACTGCCAGAAATGACTCTTCGGATGACGGAAAACTTTAGAAATCATCTTCAATAGTGTATAGCAAATAGGCCACATTTTGTTTGGAGGTGCCATTTTTAAAACCAAAAGAATAAAAATTGTAGCCCTTTGTTTAAACAACAGTGAAATAATTTGTTTAATAGAAGTTACCTTGGTCTTTTCTCAACTTTTAAAATGTTGAAGGTATATCCTGTGACTATAAATATTTTTTTTCCATGGAAATGGCAATAGAGCAGGAGAATCTGGTAACATGTGGGAAGGAGGTTGTAGGGAGGAAAATAATTCATCAACCACAAGGACGCGGAGATGCTTTTCAACTCTATTGAGACTGGAAAGTTACAATATGGGCAGCTCCTGGCCATTCATAGCAGCAGTATTTCATTTTCTGGCACTTGTAAAGGTAGAGGATAGCAGGAGGATTCAGGTACTCGGGTCTTTCTAAAAATTAGTTTATATATGCTAGTGTTTCAAGCATTTTCTATTTGGAGCTTTTCAGAACTGTTGAGTTATTTCAGTGAGAAATATTCATCAACTGTAAAGGGTCAACTAAACAGAGACTGATTTTAAATTTAAGGGACACATGCAAAGTGAAAGGAATGTAACCATTTTTTTGGTCACTTCTAGAAAAGGATCCAAGTCCAAATAGCAGTAAGACTGTCTTACCTGACAGGGGCACTATGCACATAAAATGCCTCGGCTATTTTTAATAGATCCCTGCTTTGGGGATGTGCAGGATCTAATACAAATACCTGGAAATAAAAAAAATAAAAAATGTAGTGATTAAACAGATAACTGACAAAAGTTATAACAGCATTACAAATGCGTGGCATTTTTTCTTTTTTTTTTTTTTTCCATCCACTGATATCATTTGTAAGTTATGCCCTTTTATTCTCACCAGAAATACAACACTATGTAAGGGGAAATGAAGGCAAGTGATCGTCCGAGATTTAATTACTGTAAATAATAAAATTTCACTCAGTTATCACAAAATTATTCACTTAAATCACACTCCTCATCACAAAGACAGTGATCTTATTTCTTATTATTATAAACATTAATTTTTTTAGTGGGTATACATTTTTGAGTTGATATCGATGTTGATTTTAAACAGTGAAATTAATGACAGCCAGCTGAGATATCAAGAAGTGTTTACTAACAAAAATATGCCACTCAACAGGAACTGAACATGTATTTCTTTCTTCCATCAGGGAAACCACTCTTTTAGCCAAAATGTGGCCTACTAAAAATAGCTTTCATAATAAAAATAATGTTAGATTAAAAAGAAGTAAATTTAAAAAAGTACACTGATCTATACAAAATTCCTATGAAGAAGTTAATAAAGTTTAATATTTATTCCCTGAAAAGAAATTCCCTATTTTTTATGAGTGGACAAGTTTATTTAAATAGTGCTTTGCTCAAAATGGCTTTCATATTTCTAGTCTCATTAAATGGTTAAAAAAATTAATTTTTCAAAAACATAATTAGCATTATAATAACAAACAAACTATATAAATGTAAACATATGCTTGGGTGCCTCAGTTTTTCACTGGCTATTCAGCTTCTACCCCATGTCATGGTGGTTCAATTCCTGCCTGTGTCAGTGTGAACAAAACTGAGGAGGGTTGAATGTATGTTCAACAAAGAAACTTAAAGTAAAGTATCACATGGAGAAGAGGTGTTTCGACTATGGACATCATTTTCTAATTTTTTTTTATAAATAAAAAGGACCAAATGAGTTTGGAGAAAAAAGAAAGACTTCATTTAGTATTAATAATATCATTATAATCATTGAAGGTATAAAAACAGAATAAGATTTTTCTGGGTTTATTAAACATCCCAGCATGTGAGAAATAATAAATCCATGTCAAAATTAATGACTTCTGAAAAGTCCATAGCTTGGAAACCAATTAAAATAGGAAAGAAACATGACATACCATATGGAAAATATTTTTGCCAATATGTCTCAGCATCCCTGGAAAAGTGGGTCGAAGCATTTCCTGGACACTGCTGGGCCATCTTCTGTACTTTGCATCTTTTTCCAAATCATTAATATACTGTAATAGAAAAATAAAATGAGGAATTGTGATGCAATATAACTTCAAACTATCAGAAAAATATTTGACTTAAATTGGGAAAAGGCAAAGATGTGAGGTCTTATTAAGTATAAACTTATGTGAAATATAGGTGATGAGATAATTTTAGTTTATATCACTGCTTCAGAGTAACAAGTAATATATGTTAGTCCATTACTAGCCAAATGGAACAACCTTTAGAAACTAGCAAAAATAACCAACATTAAAAAATACCTTCCTTAAAATCCATGAAGAAGAAATCCATTTTACACACGATGCACACAGTAACATCATAGAGAAGAGAGTTGATGCAATACTCTTTAAACACCTTTCATCATCAGCCAGTTGTGATATTTGCATTTTAAGGCTTAATTCACACAGCTATCTCTGATTGCATAATGGAATATAGAAAGTATTGGATAGTCTAATCCTTGTAACAAAGAATACACTGAAAGTTGATGACAAGGGGAAAAAACATTTGCAACAGTAAGAAATTCAAACTCGGGAATCAGTACCTCCCATGTCTATTGAGTGTATGCAAGTTTTTTGTTTGTTTTTCTTTTTCTTTCTTTGAACCAGTGACTAAAAAAAGAGTTCCTTTATCCAGTGTTGAGAAAAAAGTAAAATGGTGGCAGACAAGATACACACAAAACACTGCATGTTGTTTCTTTCCAAGTTGGACAACAGCAGAAAAGATGACTGATGAAGACTATGAAGATGTTTTTGGTTAGAAGCAGTATGTGCTGTGAATGGTTTATGAAATTCAAGAAAGGTGAAATTGATCTGGAGAAAAAAAACCCAAAAAAACAAAACAAACAACAACAAATTGGTGCACCAAAAAGAATTTGAAATAAAACGTGTAAAGCAAAGGCAAATTTCAAAAGTAGGAAAATAGGTTTAACAAATTGTCAAAATGAAGACATTCTCTCACTGCCTACATTTCATTTTTGTCAGGAGCCTTTTCCTTAATAGATTGACATTTGTGATGAAATGTAGGTTCCCAACAATAACCTGGAATGTTGAAAAGTCACTGGCTGATCCAAGCAACTTGCAGCATCAACAACAAAATCTAACTTTAGGAAAATAGCTCTATATTTGGTGGGATATGAAATATGTATTGCAAACTGCCAAGGTCTGGAGAAATTGTTACTTTAAAGAATTATAGTCATAACCATTGAAATTTGAGAACTACAAACAGAGGGAAAAAAATGCATTTATCTGAAAGGAAAGTTGGAGAATCCTACTGTGTATATATTGGTTTACTGAAAAACAAACAATGAGGTGTGAAATACTTCTTCAGTCTATTCACTAAAACAGAAATCACCTGTATTGACTCAAAAAGCAAGAGTGACACAAATATAATAAGCAATCATTTGCAAATAGAAATAGAAAAGAAAGATGAAGGATTTCCTTATGAAATGAGACACTCACCTCAATAGCAGAATGACGGAAATCAAGAACATAGTCTTCCACATTATTTTTCAGGTCCATCTTCACTAATTTATTTAGGCTTTCTTCCTGCAAATAATCATAAAAAATGATAGAATTTACAAGGCAATGTCATGAATGTTTTAACAAATTGGGGATGCACAGAGGGTTCACTGGATAGACAGGAGTACAACACTCAGCATTCCACTGGGTAGACGGGGAGTGTAGCAATGGGTATTTCCCCAGGTGGTCGAGGAGTACAGCAATGGGCATTCCCCCAGCTAGACAAGGTGCTCAGTAGATATATGGTTCCTTAGAATTAAATTTTGGTTAGACTGAAAGAAGGTGGGACTGGAGGACTTGTATTGCTCTATGAATCACAACATTAATGTCTGTTTCCAGAAAGCACCACCATTTAATTTGTAATATTGGATGAGTAATAATTTGGTCCTTATTCAAGCAAGTGAGCCTGAAAATTAATGTTCAAAAGAATCCTCATTGTGAGATGTAATGTCTTATCTGTAGTTATAATGTGAATCTCTTTAGTGAAATCAACATGAGAATACTGAATAATATACTGACACATTTGCAGTATAATTGCACCTTTATTTTGCATCAGTTCATTGCCAAAGAGCTATGAAAAATCTCTTTTAAAAGAACACTCATGTGAAAATATTTGTTAATGGAAGGAATAATAAAAAGAGTGTATTGGAATTATTAACTGTGGATGATGGGAATTTCTGGCTCAGTTAATTTGTTGATCATCTACCAACCTTTTTTTTTCATTTTTAATCTTCAAACTAGATAGAGATGAATTTGAAATGTTGGAAATAAACAAAAAAAAAAAACAAAAAAAACACCACACACATATATATATATAACAAAGGACATGCATGAATCAGGTCATACTTTAACTGGATGATCATAGCAAACAAGTAAATTATTTGTAGATCAAGCTGTTTTGAATGTGACCTTACTTAGATATCTTCTAACATCTATATAATACTAAAACTCTAATCTTGTAGGTATGAATGTTTGTCATTGCTTCCAATCTTCAGTAGGAATGACTGCAAAACACTTTCCCCTCCCCAACTTATAGGCAGACAAATAAAATAGGCCAGATCTCGGTTTCATATGACTCAGTCCTGGTTAGTCTTATCTTGAAGTCAGACTGCTACATTCATTAATCCAAATTTGCTCTTGTGTGTCAATCCCAATTCTTAGTTTGTTAACACTTTGCCACATTACTGTTGCTTTGCCTTATATTATTTTTTGCTCTATTCTTTTCTTTTTCTTGTTGTTTATTACAAACTTTGTCAATTCTGTTTGTTGGGCAGTTCTGCCATTTAACAATAGCCACTGACTCTAGATCTGTTCTTGAGATACAGCTTAAATGATACATAATTCACCAACCAATTTAGGAGCATATTATACCTTGAACCCCCTGCCGAGTACAGGGCCAAATTTCATTAAAATTATACATAATTATATTTAGAAATAAATGTGAGGAAGAAACAAGTACTTATAATAAAAAATATAATTATTTAAAAAAAAAAAAAAAAAAAAAAAAAAAAAAAACTTGAAAAAATGAAACTAAGTGCAAAAAAAAAAAAAAAAAAAAAAAAAAAAAGGCACTCATACCGTTATTTCAATAAATATGAAAATTTCCCCCTAAGCAGACAATTGCTTTGTTTTGAGGGTTTTTTTTTTTAATGACCTTCACCTTTGAAAATTATAATATGATAAATACTAAAAGTGTTATCTGCTACTATCACTTGAATGGAAAGACCATTAGTGTGGTATCAGTTTGCAATATCATTCTAAAAAAGGGTAAACATTCTTTAATAATTTCTCATTGTGTTTAATCTAATTAATATTGTATGTGAGTAATAATATTTTTTACAATAATTTGTATTGCAAATACAAGTTAAAATATGTATAATTAATAATAAAACTGATAATATTATTACCTCATCATTTTCTATGAACATCTTTTAAAAGGAATCCAACAGGTTTATGGGTGGTCTAGTGTTTAATAAAAGACTATTCTTCATTTAGATTGGTTTCCTTGTATGATAAATACTAAAACTAGTTTTATAAAAACAATAAATGTTGTTTCATAAGTTTACATTTTCAATCAAGATCTTTTCTGCCAATATAGTGGCTTGTGTAAAAAGTAAAGCTATATTTCTCAACTATGGGAAAACAAAAATTATGTCCACTACACATTTATTGAAACTTTTTGCCCCCAACTCAGACATTCAAATGTCCTCAAAGTTGCAGATGGGGGTGAGTAGAAATAATATGAAACAGTCTTTCAAACAAATGTCACACTTAGCTGCTTTTCAGAAAAAAGTTCAATTTTCACAACACCTATTTACAAATACAGATTAAGATGTTTGTTTTAAAAGGAGATTATTTTTCTTATATTCATTTAATTATCTAAATAGCTTAATTTGTGTTTAACCAAATTGTTTATCATTTAAATAACAAGTAAATAATTATTTATTAATCTAATTGTACACAATATCCAACATCAATGAAAACAACAAAATACTTACCTTAACCCCCAGAGAGAAGAGCCCTTCCATGACAGCAGCTTCTGATTTCATTGTGTCCAATAAAGTATAGACATCATAAACCTCAATATCAATGGGAATGCCGTTCAAGTACATGGCACATTCTCCAGGTGACAAGTTGTGGTAATTCTCAAAGTGCTGAAGAGAAAAAGAGAAAAAAAAAAAGCAAAGTAAGATAAAATGGCAGTTAATAGTGTTGTGAGAATCATTGTGGCGTTTATGTAGAAAACATGTCTCTCCTGGTATTATTTTTGAGTATTTATTTGAGTCCAAGTAATAAATGAGTAAACACAAAACAATAGAAAACAAATGACAATGCATGTCTTAACAAAAGTATTAAGATTACAAGAAAACATTTAAAGACTAGTTTCATAAAGCATTTAAATTTGAGAATGTGTTTATATATGTGCGAAATGTCTGTAGGCCTATGTGAGAGACATGTGTGAAAGAGTACAAAAATCATGAGAAAAAAAGTAAGACATTGAGAATGAACATTCCCCAGTAAGGGACACTTTTCCCAACCACCACATGTGACTACATTTTATAACCAGAGATGTAAAAGAGGAAAGAGAATGAGTGAGAATATCATTACTCTTATGGGATCTTACCCATAATAATAATAATTGACTATTCTATACTTAATAAATACTGCACCTCAGGAGTAGGCAAGGAGTCAGTAGTTCAAGTCGAGTCAAGAGTCAAGTCAGAGGCAGTTCGAAACAGAGTCGCGTTCAGACAATTACTGCAAGACATTGGAATAGTGATACTGGTCGAGACTACATTGTTCTCTCTACTAAACCTGATTGTTCATACTAACACTTCTACTTCTCTGTATATATTCCTGTTTGTAATATATCTGTGTTATTCCATACCTGTGTTCGCATTCTTCTTTATTGGTTCTACCTTGGACTATCACCTCGGTACAAGGAACTGGACCATAACAATTACCTATTTATAGGCTTAAGTCATGACCCTAGCAATGTTTCTTTTTAGGAAAGTGTTGTAGCACACCTACGAATGATAATGGGTATATCCCCATTCATATAAATACAGTAGTAAATACTATATGCTGTTCTGCAGTTAGAGATTCATTGTGGAATTCACTTGACTCACTTCTAGCAGCTGACTACTACTTCTATGCACTGCTGGCAAATCTTATATGTGTTGTTCTTGTCCTAAGTATTACCATGCATTACCAACCTTAGTTTGATTATTCTATTCAGTAACCTCTAGGTTACGACAGAAAGTCAAGTGGGATAACCCACAATAGCAAACAATCTATTTCTTTTTTCTAAAGTTGTTCTTTTGAAAGAACAATGTCATTCATGATTAACAGACGACAGCATTCAAAATATTGCTGAACTTCAAAGTGATTGATTGATTGTTTTTTTTAAGGTTTATCAATGTTTCGCAGGTTATTTAAAGCCAGAAAATATTTTTAGATTGTAAGAATTTTTTGAGATAATGATTTGCTAATACAAGCCTTAGTAATTGACCCATACCTGGGAGGGGAGAAGAAGTGGATTCAAATTTTTTGCATGGTTATTTGCACCTAAGCGAATATAAGGAACCTAACTGGAGTTCTTCAATTTCCAATTCAGAGCGCTCAACCATCACAACACCCGCACATCCAAGATTACAACACCCAGTATTCTCAAAGAGTCACCCATCTAGGTACTGACAAAGTTTGACATTGCTTAACTTCAATGGTTGTACAAGAACTAGTGTTTTAACGAGATATAGCCGTAATCACTTGTTGAATTCCAATTTTATTCAATTAAAACACAAAGCAATCTATAATCTATCTATAAAAGGCAGGATGTGTGTGTGTGTGGGGGGGGGAATGCATAATGCCCGCAATTTTCGACGGATTTGTACCAAAATTTACATGCACATGCTCCAAGTTAGTGGGAAGGCCAAGACCGACTTTGCATTTCCCAACTCCCATCGATAGTGGACGTAATCAATTTTTTCATGCTTCTACGGCAGTTTTCACGCAGTTTGCAGCCATTTTCTACTGGCCAGAGTGAGAGCCTAAAGCTGGCTGCCACGAATAGGCAGGAAGATTCTATTGGCCAGCATGAGAGCCAACAGCTGACTGACACGAATGTTAACTAGCATGCTATAGCATGCAAAAAAAAAAAAAAAAAAATCGATAGCTGCATTTGTCACAAGTGGGAAAAATTTAAATCTGCATGGCACTTTACTCCAATTGGCTCATTAAACGCTTGCTTAAACTTAACGTGATTCTGATTCCGCAGAACTGGGTTGGGTATGAAAAAGTATTTGTTGTTAAGATTCTTTTTTCATTTGGTTTTTCCAGTTACGAGTCCTTTTTTAAAGCTGATCGTTTTGTGTTCATTTTGTTTAGTTCTTTTTTCATAACAGATTTAATGTTTAGTATAGATCTTAGAAAAAATTCGCAGTGTGAGATAGGCAAGAAGTAAGGCATGTAGCAACATCAGCATGGCAAAGGGCACTCCTTTAAAGGCAAGGAAGGGCAAAAATATTTTAAGTCAAGTGATAGCGATTACTGTATGAGTCGTATGATTTTTGAATCAAGCACAGGCAACCCCGAGCCATGCTGCTAGTGAGTACATAAAATATGCAGGTAAAGTACCTTCTGGTTTTTCACGATTTCTTTTCGGATTTCTTCTGGTACTGTTGTTCTTACAAGGGACCTGACAAAATATTTTAAAAAAATGTTTAATAAAAAGTTTTTTTTTTGCAAAACACTAAAAAGTAAATGAAAAAAAAAAAATGGTTTCAAACTAAGCTTATTGGTAAAAACATACAATCTGTTGTAATCACAACTGACAATTTAGAATTGGGCATGTGTAATAAATGTCAAAAAACAAATGTACGAGTATGAATTTAAAAAGTTCCTTTCGGTTTATTTTTTTATATAAGAGAAAAAGAAAAATTACAAAATAAATTACTACTTAATGGTATCTACATGTTATAAGGGAGGCACAGTGGAGTAATGGATAGGGGCTTGGAATGAGGAATTGGAGTGCCAAGTTCAAATTCTAGTCAAATTCATTGTATTCACTTATGTGATAATACTCTTGAGAAAGGTATGAATCCATCTCTTCCTCCCAGCTATGGGTAAATAACAGCACAAACTGGGCCCTACATCTTTGGTTGGCAACCAGTCTAGGATAAAAGAAAACTTTGAACTCTAACTAACCTTGTAGGTATTGCCTCTTTAGGCAAAAGATAGAAGGTAACTTAAAAACAAATCAACCTCACAAGGCATCTCAAAGAATGGAACCATCCACCCTAACTCAAACTATGACAGGAAATTAGGAACTCCTTGGGCTTAGTGCAATAGTTTGAACAAATGCAACACTGGGACACAGCACGACACCGTAGACACCTCTGATTTTGGACCATTCGGGCATGGATTTATCACCCACAGCACTTTAGATAACAACATGTTATAAAATTTTCAGATTAAGTTTTTTTTTTTTTTTTTTAATTTAATACCAATTCATGTTTTGAAGTTTAATTTGTAAAAAAAAAAAAAAAAAAGTATTGAAATATTATAAAATGTTACTAAATCTATCTTGTTAAATAGAATAGATGAATTTGTTTGATTCATTTTGAGCAAGTATTATTAAAAAAATACAAATAATATCTACACCGGAAAAGAACAAACTTCCATGTTAAAATCTCTTTTATGACATCTTTTTGCTGATAGAAAAAATGTCAAATATATATGAAATACACAAAAATAAAAATATGATAGCATATATTTCTATTTTTTATTTTTTTTTTTTAAGTATCATGCCCATTTAAGATGTAGGCAATTATGACTCTCCACAGATTCTTTTTCTGTGAACTGCCAAACATTCTTGGGAAATGTAGTGAAGCCATTACCCATTGCTTTATGATTTTCAATTCAAAATTTTCCTTTTCTTACACTAGTTACCATCGAAAATGAGAAAGTTTACGCAGCTATTTAATCCACAGCTGGAGGGGAGAAGAGACAGATTCATTATTTTTCCTATGGGATCAGTGAAAAAGTGAATTGACTAAAATTTGAACTTGGCTTGCTAAACTCACTTTCCATGCCAATATCCATTACGTCAGCACTAAATCCTACTCTAAGACGGTACAAACTAATAATAAAGCACAAAAACTGGATTTAAAGCTGTCAAATAAAAATTTGGAATGTAATATTAAGCAAGTACATCATCTTAATGAGTAAACATAACTTTTTTTTAATGTTTTCCTGTAGATAAAAATGTAGATACAGTCTTCTTAATTCAGAAGACTAGTCTCATTATATGGTATTCATTCCAGCCTCCATCTGGATCAGGAGTCAAAAAGAGACGACAAAAATGGTGGCAAACAAAATAAGAAACAAAACTACAAAATTAACAGATATTTTAATATTAGGTGTCAAACAGTAAATCTGACAAATAACAAATTCACTAGTCATCACCTTTAAAAATGAAACATTTATAAAAATAGGTAAATAGCTGAACAAACAATTTGTCAAGCTTTTTTCCACACTGGAACAAGTCACATGATTCTTCAGGTGAGACCCAAGAATCTTGTAGTCATCAACAAATTGACAGAGTTGCAATAAAGTAATCCAAAGACAATGTAATTGAATATTTGCATGTGCAGTTAGTGTAACAGTGTAGAAAATGGAATTGGCAAACTAAATTCAAATCTTCACCTAGTTTATTGTATTCACTTTGCCCTAATGTTCATGGAAAAGCATGAATTCTTCCTTCTCTCTCCTGCTAAGAGTTTAAAAGCATGGTAAACAGCGCTCTTTAGCTTTTGATGGAAGCCAGTTTAGAAGGACAGCTATGAATGCAAATACATGGAAAAGGCAACAGGTTTTTTTAAAGCAATTTTCATGGATACAATCAATTATTAAAAAAAAAAAAAATCAATTAGATTGTTAGATTTATGTAAGAAGTTATTTTTTCAATTATTGTTCATAAATTATTTACCAATTGTTCAGCTATGTGGGTTTGGAAATAACTGATATGTAGAACTATGCTATCAATTTTTGGTAGTGAAAGTTACTGCATGATCTATAGAACTACACCTCCTGTCAAAATTATAGGGATACCTTTCTTTTTTTCTTTGGGAAAATAAGCAGTATCTCAAACAAAATTCTTTTGTTGCTTTTTATAGAAAGAATTTCGTTTTTGTAAATTTCTTAAAATAAATACTAATGCTCTTTTTAAAGGATTACTTTTTCTGAAAGTGAAAAAAAAGAAAAGAGATGAAGACACATTGAGAGAAAAGAAAAGTTATAATCAGCTGCAGGGCTGTGGAGATGGAGCCAGAAGTAACTAAGGGGTCTCTGGATTTGGAAAAACTATACAGATTCCAGTTGAATTTACACTTTATGTAAAAAAATGTTACATGATAAAATTTTTATTTTCATTTCTTCCACTGCATATTTACTATTTCCTTTAAAGAAATACATCTCAGCTTCTTTTTTAAAGTCATTTTATTTTTGTAGTTATCTTGTATTTGCAAAACTATATATATAAAAAATCTTACATTATAGATTTTTTTTTATTTTTCTTATGTCTTTTACATCCTGTAAAAGATTATATTTCAACTTTTGTTACAAAGTTGTTTTATTTTTGTTCTGTACTTATTTCTCATTTGCAAAGATATATATATATATATATATATATATATATATATGTGTGTGTGTGTGTAAAAAGTCTTACATTATAGCATTTTTATTATATCCTTTCAAAGATTTTGTCTCTAATTCCGTTAGAAAATATTGAAGAATGAATAGGTATGATATAAAAAACATAATATCTTTATTCTTTGCTATAAACCAGTTTTAATGAAATAGGCCTACTCAAGTTTGGAACATATGCATAGGCTTTATGAGATTTGTAGGCCTTAATCACTTAATTACATAAAGAGGAGTTGGAGGTGCCAAAAATAGAGGAATCAGCTGAAAACTCTTCATAATGAGAGGACAAAACATGTGAGATATGAAAGGCCTATGGATATATGTGTATTTTCTAACCTGGCCTGGACTGGGAAATTTTGACTGATAGTCTCCAGGACATTTAGAGCTTCATCTGGAGGAGCAGAAAGTGCTTTTGTAGCAGCTTGCAAACTCAAATCTGAAATTAAAGTGAGAAAAAAAAAAAATAATAAAATTTTAAAATTACATTAATAATTAAGAGATAAAAATAACTGATAAAATATACTTGTATGTCGTCAACATTTGACTAACAAATGAGTTATAATAATTATTTACAATTGGACTAATATCCTCAACATTATTGTTATCACTACAATGTTTCGACCATAATACCCTCCAGCTTTCTTCAGGTGTATATTAATTCAGTTAATCTTCAGGGAATTTTCAATTGAACTCTAAATGGGCAAGATTGTTTGTTTTTTTTGTTTTTTTATTCATGGGAAGTGATAGCTTACAGCCCATATATCTTTTTTTCTTTTTTTTTTTTTTTTAAGTACTGCCCAGTTATTGCTACAGAGTGAATCTGGACTACCTGGCTCATAGATTGAACTCACAATTACTAATGCCACTAAATTATACTCAGGATATCTTCAGAACATAACATTCTCATGATGGCGTGAATAAACATTGAAATATTAGCAAGATTCCCCCTGACTCAATACTTATTCAGTTTGGATAATGCTGTTTACATATTCGAGATATTAGAACTAAGGAAGTTATAGACACTTGTACATAATAAGTACTGCATTAACTTGCAGGGGGAGGGGGGGGGTGTCACTCGTAGATTATCAAATAAAAGCTTGAAATTTGTACTTTACCTTGTAACTGCCAGACTTTTAAAGGTGTAAGTTCAGTGGCTGTATCCATGAGGTAATTGTGAAATTCACGTAATTGTGGTTTCAATTGAGGATGAAGTTCCCTGGATAATAAAGGAAAAGAACAAATTGAAATTAGAGAATTTTATTTTGAAATACTGCCCACATAATGGTAATAAATTAGCGAAATGAAGATACTGTTGCTATTAATGTTTTACAGGTATTTCTGTCATACCCTGTATCTAAAAGAAAAGCCACCAATGTAAATATGAATAAGCAAACATAAATGAATAAAATTTCCTGATTGAAATTTTGAGTCATTTCTTCTTCTATGTGCCTTGTCCTTTCAGGACATTGAAAGTCATGGCTCTCAACGACTTTGTCCTTTGTAGCTCTTAATAAGTCTTCCCTTTTCACTATCCCACCAAACTCTGCTCAGCAATCCATTCACTCAAGTTTGCTAAATAGGTTATATGTTGTTTTTGTTTGTCCCTGTTACCTAGAAATTGAAAGTGCCGCTTCCTGATATTAAGTACATTTAATGATTTCTTTCTAAATCATCATTAAAAAAAAAAAAAAAAAAACAGAATAAAACAAGAAATCCTTGCAGAAAATCCAGTGTGGAAATAAGTCATATAAAGTAACCAGCATTCTAGAGACTTCAAAAATGAACAACATAAGGATCATTTATTTAAAATGGAAATAAGTTGTATAAAAGAAGACTGCAAAAATGTGGAGGAGGGGAAGCATTGCTGATGCATCAAATAAAGAAAGTTTGAAATTATTCACCAGATAATGAATATGCCAAATACTGTGCAAGTGAAATCGAGGATAATTATTGAAAATTATCAAAAAACAAGACATCCTAGCAGTAAGTCCAGTGTAGAAATAAGTGCTATAAAAGATGTGATGTAATGGAATAACCAGTCACCTCCATGAATGATTACACTATAGGTAGTAAGTACCTATAAAGTCAACTGTCTACAAGAGACATGAGGAAGAGTGAGAGCAAGAAGACACAAGCAAGTCCAACCTTCCAATTAGTGGCACTCACTACTAGATTGACCTATGTGCATAACTGTACTGTTTGTGTACAATAAACCTTTCTTTTATTATCCACCTGGTGTTAAGTATTTATTCCCTTAGCACGGAATATAACAAGATGATTGCAAGATATGTATGTGCGTGTGTGGAACTGAAATTAACCTCTTAAAATGAAACTATGTATTTGAATTAAAATATTTCTATTTACAACAAAGAAACAAATATATAACATAAGAAGCATTTATTAAAACAAAAAAAAAAAAAAAGTATTGCTGATGCATCAAACAAAAAAGTTTAAATTTATTTACCTGAGTATGAATCTACCAAACTGTACAAGTGAAAATGAAGATAATTTAAAGAAAACATGTTTTTGTTTTTTTCTTCATTTATTTTTTTTAAAAAATTGAAATGATATAATTTGCTTGAAGCAGAAACTACTACTGAAAAATGTATGAATGACTTTTGTTTTATTACTAAATTGAAAGTATTCACAGAGAAATTTTTTTGGGTCCTTTTGTACACTAGAACAGCCATGAATAGATTGTGATAGACGTTTCAGTACATTACGATAAGAAAATTGTGAAGGCAGAGTAAGCAAAAATGCAGGGCAAATCAGAGGAATATACTAAGCAGCAACTGAAATTGTTCCTTTTGTGGTTGACACACTTGAGACTATTTCTAGGTATCCTTCTGCCTTTCAAGACGCTTTTTTATTCATAGAGCTAGGAGAGAACTTGGCAATACAATAAGAGTAGATAGGTTTGTCTATTGTCCGATTCATACTCCTCCCTGGTCTTTTGAACAGGAGTAGAGGTTTATCACTTGTTTCTGGTTCCTTTCATAGTCTACTTCTACACTATACTTCTAACGTCTCCGCCTGAAGTCTGAAATTTTATTCATTAATTAAATCTTGACCTATTCAAGTCTAGAATTAACTGTTATCATTTCTGCATAGCCCCCCTCCCACATGAACTTCACTTCTTGCTCTTTCTTATGCTCATACAACACTACACAATAACCATCTACATTGAGTGGCTGTTGGGCCTTGTATTGGGTGAACATTACTTTAAAAAGAAAAAAAAAGGACACTTAAAATTACTCTCTGGCAAGATGATACAATAATCTTTGCTGCTGGATGTAGTTTATTGTCATATGAAGGACTGCCCAAGAAAGAAAGACTGAAAATATCAATACAGAAAATCTTTTTCCTATGACTGACTTACTTTAGCTTATGGAAATCAAATCCCTGAATTTCTTTCTCCCAATTTTCATCTTCATCAGAAGATTGGGCTTTATCACCTGGAAAATAAATATGAAAAGTTGCAAAATAAAAGAAAATGGAAATTCTTTGAAGCTGGGATACTTGCAGGAGATATATATATATATATATATATATACACACACACATACACACACGTGTATATGTGTGTGTGTGTGTATGCACGTGGGGGGTGGGGTTATCCCACTTTGCTTAAAAAAACAACAAAAAAAAAAAAACAAACAGTCATTAGGGAGCACTCCTTAAGCCTATAAAATGGTGTGTATTTCTCTCCCTAGCCTCTTTTGACTACTTTTCAACTTTAGTTTTAAGATGTATTCGTATGTGGGTAAAGTGTCCCCAACTAGGGCATGTTCCTTTTCATGATTTTTGATTTTTGTACTCTCTCACACATATTCTTATGATTGCTAGTCTCATGTTTGTTTCCTTTATCACATGTAATTCCTTTTGTTAATACATGCATTGTTGTTTGTTTCATAGTTACAATTCTATGTTACTCACTTTTTACTTGGATTCACATTGAGTCCACCAATATTGTTCGTGGGATAAATTTTCCAGGAGCCCATAGATATTTGTTATCCAAAGTGTTGATTCCTCCAACATAATGGTGTCTAAATATTTACACAAGCATAATACTATCCCACAACATATAATTTTCCCAAAATGAGTGTTTGTACACATCAGAGAATAAAACAAGAAATTTCATATGTTAACCAAAAATTGTTTAAAAATAAATTTATAAATATTTATGGCATTGTTGTTCTTTTAACATTAGCATGAAGGTTATGAGCATTACAATGCTCAGATTGGTGAAAAAATTCAGCATATACAGGGGACAATGAATACATTGTCACCATTTTATATTTTTAATTTTGTGCATGCACATTGTTTTTGATTTTGTTGACTGCACATTATAGCAGGGCCAGTTGAACACCATCCATGAAAAAAAAAAAAAAAAAACACCATCATGCAATTCACTCCACTAGGAATTTGGAAATGGCATGATGTACTGCTTGGCATTTGTGCTGGAAGCTTCAGTACAAACATTTCAGAGTGTTTGGGTGTCAATCCGTAGACAGTGCAGAAGATTTGGAAAAAGTTGGATGATATATCCAACCTACATCATGGTGTTTGGAGGGATCACCAGTGATGGCATCATTATGCCACCATTCATCTTGCCACAGGGCTTCAGACTCAACAGGGAGGCCAAGATCAAGTACCTTGAGAAAGTAGTGTTTCCCTGGGTCAAGTGAGGTGGCTACTGGAAGAGCCTATGTCTGGCAACAGGACTCTGTACCATGCCACACAAACTGGAGAATCCAGTCATGGCTGCCAGATAATTTCTGTGATGACATCATCCCTGGACTTCAACTCCCTTGATTACTACGTGTGGGGTACAGCTGAGAGAGAGAGAGAGAGACCAACATCACTCCTTGTAACACCAAAGATGAACTGAAGGCAAGGATTATGTCAGCATTCACCAACCTAAGGAGATCATCCAGAGGAGTTGCAGGATATTATGACATCATCTGGAGGTTGCCAATGGCGATTTTATCGTATAAATTTACTCTTTAGTATTTCCAGATATTTCTGTGTAATTTTGGTAAATATATCTGTTAAAATGAGATGTTAGTATTATTATTTCCATTTCTGTGTAATTTAAACGACAATTTATCCACCGCATCATGTATTAAGCATAATGCAAGGCTTAGACCTTTTTTAATGCAACATTATTAAGCATTAATACCCGATATTTCTCTCATTATGGTTATATTTTTATATTTTAAGCATGAAATAAATATGAAATAAGGCTCAAACTTGAGAATTTGCTAAGCATGATTAGGCTCAGCTAAGATTATTATAAATGATGCAAAAAAAAAAAAAAAAAAAAAAAAAAAAAATAAAAGGAAGTCTATTCCAGAAGTGTTTAGACAATTGAACTTTTTTCATGGTGAGTTTGGTTGTCATCATAACATTTTAGCTAACCCATTCTGTAGTCTTTTTCAAGTGTACAATCAGTAAAGAAAGAAAGTGGGACTCTTTTTCTAGAAAATAATGGCAAATATACTGATTGACTGACTCCTTCCAGCAATGAGTACTACACAGTGTGGAGACACTCTCTAATTCCCTCCCAACCAAATAAAGAAATCCATGTTGTCCATCAGAGTATTGCTTGCCACTTCAATTTTCTTATTTCAATATTGTAGCAACGTTAAAATAAAAAACAAAATGGTATCCAAATGGATTCTAAAACTTACAGAGGGAATTTAAATTAATTTACTGATTTTGTATGTTCACTTATTTTCAAATAAATTAGATACAAACTACCTACCTTCAACCTTGGTGTCATCTTTGGCTTTGTACTCGGTGCTTTTAATAGCTAATTCTACACCATAGCCAGATAAACGCACTTGCTGAGGAGCAGGATTCTATTAAATATTATTAAAAGAAGAAAAAAAAAATGTAATATATTCATTTCTATTAGACAAAAAGAAATAAAAATGTACAATAACTTTCTATTACTGAAATTATTTAATTCTTTAATATTTAAAGACAGCTACTAAATTAGCAGGTAGGTCTCATCATTACAATTAAAGTGGCTAGATACAAGATTTGACAGAAATATCTCCCAAAGCTAGATGAAGATACCATTGCCACTAATGTGTTATCATTATGTGGGAAGTATTTCTGTATAATGCTAAGTTCTATACTAATAGTTTTTTTCTCTCGCACTTCTTATTTGAGGAACTCTCTTCTGATTCTTGTTTTCCAATCAACTTTAATATTCAAAAATTTAAATACAATGTCTATTGTTATCTTCCATTTTTTTTAATTACTGTTCTTTTATTGTTCTCTCTTCTTAATAATGTTTTTTTTTTTCTCTCATATTCTTTCACACTCAGTAACCCCTTGCATCTCAGTGGCTTTATTGCTAGGTCTACTGCTAGGAAATTTAGTTCACTGAGTCATGAACAATCTCTCTTGTCAGAATCCATCTTGCACATTTATAAATCTACCATTCGTCAGTGCTTTGAATACTGTTGCCGTATCTGGCTTGGCGTTCATACTATATATCTCAAGATTCTTGCCAAAATTCAAAGAAGGGTCTGTAATGTCAATAATTAATCCATCCTAGTGTCATATCTTTCCCAATGCTTCGACAGCATGACCTCAATACTATTGACATCTGGTTGTTCTAGGACTTCAGAATTATAGATAAAATAAATGAAGTCACTCCAATGGATGTTGCAGTGGAAGCATTGGAGGAATTGCAGGTAGTGAAGATATGTGACCCAAGACTCAGAACTGTACAAGAGGGGGTGATCAGTACAGTAATACTGTACACATTGTGCTTAGAGCTTGTCTTCAGGTGTTTGTAAAAGCACAAAGCATATAAATCACAAGACCTTTATACTATAAATAATGTAGCTTGGACATGCCATGTTACTTCTATGGAATTGAATCACTCATTTCCTTCATATTTCAACTGTCATGAGAAAGTTCCAATCAGACATCTTTTTTTCCAAGGAACTGCTAATTTGTAGAACAGACTTCCACTTGGATGCTTCCCTGAACACTACAACTTTAACATCTTTAAATAAAGAGTCAATAAATAGGTATCCTCCCTATCCTCATAATATTTACTTCCTACCTCTTCCTCTTTCATTCATATCTCGCAGTTCATTCATAAAAACCAATTTAATCTACCCTGAGTGGTTCTCTAGCCTTGCATATGGTGAACTTTAGTAGGTGACAGAAAAAAAAGAAAAAAATAAGGAAGTGTATGAATTGTTGCTATTAATCCCTTTATTAACATAACAGATATCAGAAAATTCAATCATCTATATATAATAAATATGAATGTCAGAGTGTCACACTTTTTCAACTGATTCCTAGAGGCTGTAGCCCAACATATACCATTTTGGAATCAGGCTGACTGTAAGCAAATTAAAAACATTCTGGGCTGGACCTGGACTCACAATCCTGAAATTTTAGATACCCAAGTTTTCATTACTGTGAGTGATTTTTGGCAACAATTTTTTTTGTATGATAACAATTTTTGTAACTTTGAAATAAATTTGGGAATAACTGAAATTAATTGCAAAATCCAGTCACCAATGAAATAAAATTGTTTGTACAGTAAGTAAAGACCTATGTACATCAAATTGTCTTTACATTAAGTGGTGGCAGAAGAATTATCGTTGAACTTTTAAAAGGTAAGCTTTAATATTAATGCAATACTTAAATGCAGCAATCAATTTTGAGTTACTCTGTAGTTTATTGTTGCCTATCACATCTACTCCTTCCTACCTATTGTGATGAAGGCCTGATCAAGAGGTCTCTGCAGGAGATAGCTTAAAAGCTACCTAATAGGGTGGCTTTTAAACTAGTAATAAAATATGTTTGAATGGATTTTTGTCACCTGATTTTAACAATGCTTTTCATTTGGTAAAAGTGAATACAATGTCTAAGAATATGAAGATTGAAAAAGCTTCTGAATAAATACATTTTTTTTTTATTTTTAAATCATTTCACCCTAAGCAAGACAATAAAGCCAGGGGTTACTGAGTGTGAGAGAATATGAGAAAAAGAAAGTTATTAAGGAGAAAGAACAATAAAAGAACAGGAATTAAGGAGAGGGAAGATAATGATTGACACTGTATTTAAATATTTGAAGTCAAATTTGACTGGAAAGCAAGAAGCCAGAAGAGAGTTCCACAAGCAAGAAGTGTGAAAAAAGAAAATATTAGCATAGAACTAGTCATTTCAACTGTAAAAATTGGAAGTTGCAAGCAATAAAATTAACTAGAATATGCACGCACTTCCAAATTTTATCAAGTAACATTTGATGGCATATATAAAAACTTAAAGACAATCCATCACTGTCAGGATTTCATGGCGTTCAAACTCCCTTCACACAGTCTGGGGGTGGTCACCAAAATTCTGACCAGTACAGTATGGTCTGTAATTAAATTCCCTACAATTATGATTTTGCCATTTCTGCAACAAAATACAGAATAAAGCCTGAACTTACCGGAATGAAATGCCGGAAAACATAATCAATTTCTTTATTAATGGTCAACTGCTTGAGTTTTTTATGGAATGTTTGTGATGCAGCTGTTCCAAGTCTGGCATAGAGAATGACCAACACATCAGTTTGTGCACTGCTAGGAAATCTGTGGTCAAATGTGTATGTTGGAGCTTTGGATCTGTAAAACAAAAATCATATAATTTGAAGGCCAGGAAGTACATTTTGAGCAAATGAAACTGTCCCTTTGTTGCCTGAAAGGAATATGAATTAGTCACTTAAAAGAATTGAAAAAGCTGAAGTATATCTTCCCTTTCTTACAACAGGAATTAAAACAAGCAAACAAATAAATTTCCACTCCATTTGGGTTTAGTTTGGTTGATTTTGTGATGGCATATTAGCCTCTATGGGTTATTTAATGCTGAAATCTAAATATTTTGAACAGTTTTATGGCTTCAAGTAAATAAATTTTGAATGCATTTGTATGCCTTCAACTACAGATAAAATGTATTGTTGGTCCTTTTTTATATGAAAATGTATAGCTGGTATTTTTATACTTTCATAGTGTTTTGTTTAGGGATTCACTATTTGCCTAGTTGAGACCATAACAGTTTAGACCTATGTACGGTAGAAATTAAGAACTTGACTTGGGGAAATATATTGTGTCCAATAATAGATATAAAACGTTTTACAAGAATAACTACTGAAGAAAAAGGTTTTTCTGTCCGGAGTTAGGACAACATTTTTCTCTTAGTTGCAGTATACTAATTCATCTTCTCAATGTAGCACCTAGAATAGAAATTGTAAATAATATAACATAAGATTTATTATATAGTTTTTTGATGGAAAGAGATAAAAAATAAATAATAAAAAAAAAGAAAGATAATACAAGATAACTGTTATATTATCTGGTATTTTTTTTAATCATTCCACACCCAGCAACCTACTAGCCCTGGGTAAGATGATAAACTACATCCAGCAGCAAGGCCTCTAATCAGGAGGTTTTGAGGAGCGTGGAACCACCTCTTAATTGCTGGTGTTCCCAGGTCCACCCTGAACCAGGGTGGTAGCACCTGTTAGAGTCCCAGCTATGGACAAACAGTTAACTATTACTAGCAATACTTTTTTAAAAAGAATTATTACCAGCAATACAATTTTAAAAGAAAAATATTTCCAGAAGCAGATTTTTAACAAAACAAAATATTACCAGCAATAAAAAAATGTTGTTGGCATTAAATAACCCATTGAGGTTGATATGCCATAAAACAAAATAAACCAAACCAAACCAAACCCAGCAACCCGCAGAGATGCAGAGGGTTAATGAGTGTGAAAGAAGAAAAAGAAAAACACTAAGGAGTGAGAAGAATAAAAGAAAAGGAATTAAGACAGATGATATTGATTGACATTGCATGTAAATTTTTGAATATCAAAGTTGACTGGAAAGCAAGAAGCCTGAAGTGAGTTCAACAAGTGAGAAAAGAAACTTTTACCATTAAACTTGTGGATACATCTGAGGAGATCTTGCCACCAATCTAGTACTGTGCTTAAAGTGGACAGAGGAGAGTTCATCAGAACCATTACTATGAAAGTATTTATAGAGAAGGCACAGGGAAGCTACACTCAGGTGATGAGAAAGTGACTGAAGTTATGATGCCAGGTCAGGACCAATGACATTGCAGATTCTTCTTTGAATTTTATCAAGAATCTCTACATATAAAGGGTGCGATGGATAAATTGTCGTCTAAATTATGCAAACATGAAAATAACACTGATATCTCATTTTAACAGATATATTTACCAAAATTACACAAAAATATCTTGGAATACCAAAGAATATATTTATTCAATAAAATCGCCATTGGCTTCAACAATGGTCTCCAGACAACTTTACAACTGCCTTCTGGACGATCTCCTTATTTAAGTTGGTGAATGCTGCCATAATCCTTGCCTTCAGTTTGTCTTTGGTGTTACAAGCAGTTTTGTTGGTCTCTCCCTCAACTACACCCCACACATAATAATCAAGGGGTTGAAATCTGGGGAATTAGGTGTAAGGGGTAATGTGATCACAGAAATTGTCTGACAGTCATGACTAGGTTCTCCTGCTTGTGCAGCATGGCGCAGAATCCTGTTGCCAGACAATGGTCTTCCAGCAGCCAACCTCATGACACAGAGCAGTATGACCTCCTCAAGGTACTTGATGTAGGCCTCCATATTGAATCTGAGGCCTTGTGGCAGGATGAATGGAGGGATAACATCACCCTCACTAGTGATCACCCCAAATAACTTTGTAATTACCATTAGATTTATCTAACTCTTTCCAAATTCTCTGCACTGTGAATTGCATCATGGTGCTTTCTCTCAGATGGTGCCTAAACAATGTATTAGCAACAAAATGAGAGATCCTGTTATAGTAATACAAGGCATGTTTGCTTACTGGTGTCAAGTCATGCCTCTTGCTACCATAATAATGGAATACCTCATTACTAAGTAGGGGAGATCAGGCCATGTAACTGATGAATATATAAAGTTGCATTGTTTTTTGTTTTTTTTATAGATTAAATTGCCAGTAAGAGTTTCATTTTCAATTTGATAATACATGATTTTTTTTTTTATATAAGTAAACTATTTATAAGCAACTGTATTTAAATTTGACTAAATGACTAAATTTTAAGCAACTCCACTGTTCATGTTGGTAAGGCTTAAGCAACTCAAAAATATATGACAAAAAAGTAAAGGAAGAAAGAAAAAAATCTAAAAATTAAACAAAAAGACTTATTAAATACGTTCTTTTATATAGTATTCAAGAATTCTAACAATTCTACTAATTTAGTTACATTCAAATATCTATTTATTGGACCCAAGCATAAAAAATTTAAGTAAGTGAGTATTCATGTGTAAAAATTAAACAATTCAAGTATTGGCCAAAATCCTAACATTGCTCATTACCAAAAAAAAAAAAAAAAAAAAAAAAAAAATAAAATAAATAAATAAAAATGGCATACCAAAACTGACAAACATTCTAAAAGTGCTGCTCACCTTGTAGAAGCAGATTTGATGAGTGTGTCAATTTCTTTGATGTCACAGGTCATAGCTCCATGAACATTCACAAACGCTTCACAATTTGTCCACTTTTTTTCACCAGATGACATTGCTAACTTATCCTCCTTGGCCATCTACAACACAAAAATTGTTTTTTTCACCAAAGAGAAATATTAAAATGTTTATTATGCTTTGTAAGTGTCTTATTGATGAATGCGTGATATATACTCAAAAATATAGCATAAATACATATTGGTATAATGTTGCTTTGTGCATCATCCTTAGATTCTGGTAGTCTGTCAGTAGTTCCTCAGTTGGGGACCAATTCTGCATCAATAGACTAAATTAATGACATAATTTTACTTAGGTTTATTTCATGGAGAGACATAGTAAGCACTGTTTCTTAGAGAGATAGAGAGTGTAGATGTCAGCAAGTTGGCCAGCTACTATCCTCTCCATGTTTGTGAGATATTCTCCCTGTTGAAACGATGAGTACACAAAGAAATCTGGAGATGAGCATTAGAGCTCTTGACTTATCTACTAATGCAAGCATACTCCCATTTTCATGCAGTTTTCTGTCTTATATCAAAACTCAAAGACAATCCTTCATTGTCAGGATTCCCTGCCAATGGGTTTCAAACCTCCCTCATTCAGTCTGGGTCATTTCAGACCAATAAGGTAGGATTTGAAATTATATTCATTGCAATTATCATTTTTATCAAGCTTACTTATAACAAGTCAGTTGTTAAATACATTCAAAAGCTTGGGTGTTTTAATTTTATGATAAGGACTTCTAAAATCTCTAATCATTTTTACAGTTAATACAGTATACAATATATGTAGCAAAAAGAAGAGAGAAAAAACAAAAAAAGTGATGAGAGGGTTCACAGGCAAACCAGCTGTTCTTCTTTGCCGTCAGTCACCTCAAAGAAACAAATTGCGAGACTCCTTTTCTCGGCCATTACACCAGGCAGTCGTGAAATGGACACCCAAATCAAACACGCCTACTTTAACCGCCTCTTGGTCTACCAGTCTATTCGCACGTCCGACTGTTTCACAAAGTCCGCCGAATGACTCGCCATCTGCTGTGCTGTTGGCACCTCACCTTTTTATGCTAGTCCGACACTGCTGAAATTTGCATGTGTACAGGTACAATCCCGTTTTGGACGAGACCGGCGTGTATAAATCACATCTACGACAGCGGCCATGTTTTCTCTCGGATTTATCACGCAAGCAAAACACGTTCGCACATGTTTCGAGCTCTGAGGTAAGTCATCACAATATACATACAATATATAATATACAGTATACATATTATTAACATTTATGTGGCATATACTAGTTGAAACACCAGTAGTGTTTTTATTAAACTATTATCTTCATTTTTTTTGTTTGTTTCTAACCTTGTTTCCATTGATACATTCTTCTTGGGTGTTGTATTTGGTAATCTCTACAAATCCTTTATACCAGATTAGACCAGTGACAAAGAATAAATTAGCACAAAAAATGTTTAAAAAACAACAATGGAATAAATATGTTTTATAATGTCAAATTGACTAATTTGCTTTTTATGGCTTATTAACCATTTAAAGGTTATTTAGACTGTAAGAATTTTATGGAGATAATGATTTTACTGATGCAAGTTCTACTAATTAACCTATAACTGGGAGAGAAGAGGTGGTTTTATACCTTTACCAAGGGTATTTGTGCATAATAAATATAACGAACCTGACTGGAATTGGAACTCAGTTCTTCGATTTCCAATCTCAAGCTGTTATTCATTATACACATCAAGCTTACAACACCTGGTATTCCCAAGTGGTCACCCATCTAGGTACTGTCCAGGGTTGAAGTTGCTTAACTTCTGAGATTGTAAGAGAATCAGTATTTTAATATGATATGACTGTAAGCCTTATATCAAAGATTTAAAAAAAAAAAAAAAAAACTAACCATGTACACAGTCAGCATTGGCATTATAGATTTCTTTCACATGTTTTTTTTTTCTCTTTGATCCGATATGAAAATTTTGATGAGAATAAAAGATGAAAAACACAATCAATCAATACAGACCTGGTCGTGCATTTCCACCTCTGGCGAGTGAACACGAAGGGACAAAGATAATTTGAGCATGTTAAGTTGCAAAGTCGACAGGTATTTGGCTGCCAATTCCAGTAGAAGATTGTATAAGGATTGATCAGATTCTGTTTGATGGAAAACAAAGCAGAATTATTAAAGAGAAAAAGAAAAATGAACACCAACAATTTTTTAATGTTAGGGAAATACAAAGGAGAAAAGGAATTTTAGGTTTTTCTCAAGTCTCTACTAATTTTATTTTGACCCTTTAAATTAAAGTTACCCAATTTGGCAAACATGGACCTTCATGCAAAAGAAGAAGAAGGAAAAAAAAAAAAAAAAAGGAAAGAAAAATGATGTTTCAAACGGACTTTTTTCATTGATACCACTATTATTTTAACTATATTCATGTTCTTTCTAATGTCTATTTACAAGATTATAAAAAAATTATTTACCTTTTATAAAGATTTATTATTTACTAAAATGTGAAAAATCTTTTTATTAAAACATTTAAAAAATTCTTTTAATATGTATTTCTTTATAAATTGATAAATATTGAATTGTATTAGTTGGTTTGCATTTTCAGAATCTTGTAAATATAAAATTATTTATAAACAATCTAATAAATAAATAGTGTGTAATATTTCTGTTGCAAATTTTGATAGAACAAAGAAAATGTATAAATTCAATTTTATATGTCTGGGTTTTATTAAAATTCTAATCAACACATTTTAAAACAAACATTGCTGAGGGAGTGAAAGGTAGGTAAAATTGGCAATTAGTTTTAAAACTTATTGCATTGTAGATGGGTTAAATATTTTAAAAAAAAAAAATTTGAATAGAAAGATTTTTCACATTTATTTCTTTATAAAATGGTAAAATCTTTTATGATGATAATAATTGTTTATAATATAAACATTGCTGATGGAATGATAGTAGTGTTAATGAAAAAAACATCCTTTTGAAAGACCATTTTTTTTTGCTGGCATGAAAGTCCAGGTTTGCCCACAATTTATTCAAGAGTGCTGCAGTTGAGAAGAGTCTCCATAAAAATTTACACAGCAAATGGGTTATGTTTTTGGCTTTTCAATATAAAGAGTTTCAACTGTTTCTTTTTTAGACTAAATAAATTTATATTGTTAGTCTGAAGCTTTCATACTTGAATATATCAGAATTGTTCAAATAGGTGAGGTAGAAAAGTGATGAGGATAGATTGAATTGATTGATTGTTTTTTTTTTTTTTTACAACATATCAAACCTTTATGTGCTGAACCATAATAAAAATAGGTGATTTTGTGTTCTGAACCTTATTTTCCGTATAATATTTTTTTGTGTTCTGAACCTTATTTTCTGTATAATATTTTTTTGTGTTCTGAACCATATTTTGAACTGTATAATAATCTTTTTTGCTGGTGAATATAGCATTATTAATTTTTTGAGAAGGTTTCTTCCAGATATAAGTTTTATTATTTACCCATAGTTTCAAGAAGAAGATGGATTCATACCTTTCCCAAGGGTATTTACATGCAAGTGTATGAGATAAACAAGACTGGAATTTGAACTCAGCTCCAATTTCTCATTCTGAGCCACTATTACAAAGACGTGTGGAAAGAATATATTTAATGCTACTCAATTATTACAGGATGCAACATTCACTTAAATAAGACAGAAAACAAATCCATTAAAATTTGATGGGAGCTTTATTGGTGGAGTAGAAGTTGTCCTAGTGGTCATTGTATAAATTTATATTTTATAAAAGTTAAAATATTCCAAAACATATATGAAACCAAAAAAATAAAAGACAATCTATTTGCAACTTCCTGACAATCTAATGAAATATTCTGTTATGGTAATAGGGAGCATATGCATGTATTGGTGCAAAGTAATACCTTCTTACCATAATAGAAAAATCAATCTGTATAATCAACAAATATATAAAGTTACCATGTGTGTTTTTATATTTTATATTATAGAAATTATCTCGTTAACAAAATAATGGCCTCAAATTACATGTAATTTTAAAATAGTACAATAAAAATTCAACATTGTTCTGTCAGTTGTTACTCTCAATTGATTAAAATTTCAAATCGTCTTACCAGAGACAGCCATAGAAGCAATTTATTGCAAATCCCAAATAGATTTGCATGTAGCCACTATACAATACACCTTTCAACATAAATTTGGCATTATGTTTCTCTAAAATACATAGAAATTCAGCAGAATATGGAGACATGATCACATCAAGAGTCCCATAACTCATTAGTGTTGGGGGGAGGGACACCATATTGACTGCTGCAACAGTGATGTGTCTAGGGCAGTATAGTTTGATAGAGCCCATCCCTCTTCAGGCTGGTTTTGAGTACAGAGATTTCCTTCTCCCAGACAGTTTGCCACCTTAAGGCAAGAGATCCCAGACGGCTGTGCTAGTTAGCCAATAGCTAGAGGAAGACAAGATGGATTCATACCTTTCCTAAGGGTATTTGTGTGAAAGTCAATGTAACAAACTTGGTCAGAATTTCAACTAGGCTTGTCAATTTCCCTTTCCAAGTTACTAACCATTACACAAAGCGCACATCCATAGTGACAGGGTACAATGCATTAAGGGATAATCTGGGAAAGAACCAGACAGTATTGAACCCAAAATTTGAGACACTATACATTATTTTGCCTCCAATTCAAGACTCCAATCAAAGTTTGTAGAGAAAAAGAAAGAAATAATCTGATTCAATAAGTTTTTATTTGAAGAAATCGAAACAATGACCAGAGCCAGCTGTTGCAACATCAATAGATTCTCTAATTGATCTCATTGGCCAAATATAAGTAAACAAGTTTGATAAAGAGAGACACATGGACACATCTGTTGTAAAATAAAGTGAATTTTGATTCTTGTTAATATGAAGTCAATGAAAAACATTGGTTTTGGACAATTAAGGATAATAACACTTCTGTACCATAAAAGTTTTACATTTGTAAATATATTTCATACACTAATTGAAATAACTATTATGGGATGTAGATAGTAAGATTTTTCAAGATTACTTGAGTGTTAATTAGACTTATGTCAAGTAAGTTTAACTTCAAGATGTACAAATTAAAAAATAATTTTTACAGTAGTTAGGTGAGGAAAATTTAATAACTTTCTGAAGAATTTATTTTCTTATTGAAACATTAGACTAAATATACTATTAAGTGATCCAAATGCTCTTGTAAACTAAAATACACAATTGGAAAGCTTTGCATATGTATACACCTAACAATTTTGTCTTGGCACTGATAATCTCTACAGTGGATAGCATCTCTGCATCTTGGCAGAATGGTCAGAGCATTTGTCGGTTTGCTCAAAGTATTTCATGTATATATAAAAAACTAAAAAAAAAAAAAAAAAACTAAAAAGACAATAAAAATGCCATAAAAAAAAGCAAAAAAAAAAAAAAAAAAAAAAAAAATAGAAAAACTAAAACACTGTGCTGAGTTGCATAAAAGATGCTGGGTGGGTATAAACTTGGGACAAAACCCCATCATTCTATACCCCCCCCCAGTTACTCTATTTGGCACTGTGTCTGTGTAAGCTTAGCTGAAAAAACATTGAGAAAACCCACATAAAAATTAAAAAAAAAAAAAAAAATAATACAATATATATATATATATATATATATATATATATATATATAAATTGGTAATTGGTAGGGATAATCCCAAAGAGGATTAATCCAAAGAGAGCTCAATGTAAGTGACAGAGCAATAAAATAAGCAAAGAAAATCCTTAAAAATCTATTTCAGTGAAAACTTTTTTCATAAATATACTTGAATATTCATCTCTTAAAAAAAGCAACAAAAAACTTTGGTCTGAAGAGATGAACACTTAAATATATTCATGAAATAAATTATAACTGAAATGTATTTTAAGGATTATATATATATATATATATATATATATCATAAAGAAACAATTTATACAAAGAATTAAATAGTAATGTTAAGATGATTAATGGTGAAATCACTTCACTAAAAGAACTCAATGAGACATTAACTTACAATTAATTCCTTGATATACTTATATTTATGTTGTTGTCAGATGGAAGATGCATGCCAAGTACTTTTGATAATTTCAAATTGTCATTGTCATGGTGCAATTTTCCCATACATCAGCAAAAATAAGACAAAATGTGTAGAAGATCTTTTTTAAATTATGCTATTTATTGACAGTTGAATATATGTTTTGGAACATGCGATGATGTGCCACTAGAGTTCTTGTTCAAATCAGTCAAGTGAGAATTTTGTTTGAATTTTGAAAAGTTATAAATCCACAAAATTTTCTTGTTATGTATATTTATCTGTTAAAGTGAAATAAAAATTTTTTTCTTTGTTAAAATAGCACAAGAAATACCTTCTTTAAGTCTGTCTGCATTCCTCTGGGTGATGGCTTCGACAAAACCCCAGAAGTAGTCTTCATTTTCTTTTGATAAATACTCACTGAAATCAAGATTAAATCAAAAATGAATAATTCACTATGAATTAAAATCAATGTATATAAAGAATAAGAAATTTTAAACAACTTCATTGGACAGACAATAATATTTTAAGCTGTTTATTCAATTTAAAGATAAAATTTTTATTATTTTCATAGTTGTAATAATTTGTAAAGAGTAGAAAGAGGTTTCTCCAGTCTTTAATTGAGAAAAAGATACTTTTTCTATGTGCCATGTCACTTCAAGACATGGACAATCATGGCTCTCTACAATTATCTGTTCTTTTTAGCTTTTTTTTTTTCTTAAATCATTTTGCCCGAAGCAAGGTGATGCTTCTAGGATGCTGTGGGGTTTACAGGAAGTGAGTGAGAATGAGGAAAAGAACAATAAAGGAACAGAGTTCAAAAAGCAGAAGATGGTGATTGATGTTGCATTTAAATTTTTGAAGATTGAAAATTGGAAGGGAGTTCCACAGGCGAAAAGTGCAAGAAAAGAAACTATTAGTATTAGAATAGAACATATGGTTGCATCTAGCTAGTTTCAACAGTAAAACAATGAGACCTAGTTCCCAATCTAGTAGCATGCTTAAATTCATTCAATCAAGAAACTAAAGAGAACAGCTCATGAGAATCATTACTATGAAAATATTTTTAGAAAAGACAGAGGGAAGCCATATTACAGTGGTATAAAAAATGACAGAAGTCAAGATGCCAGGTCTGGATCAATTAGACCCTTTGAATTTTGTCAAAGATGACTGGTAGATTTACAAATGTGCACAAGGAATTCTGATGAGAATTGTCAGACACAACACAGTGAACCAACTTTCCTAGCAGTAGACCCAGCAACTGATTCAATATATATATATATATATATATATATATATATATATATATATATATATATATATATATATATGTGTGTGTGTGTATATATATATATATATATATATATAATCACTCCACTTCATGTCAATGGAAAATTTAAGTCCAAGAAGGCACAAAGTATTGTTCTCCTGGAGTTTAGCATCAGGTATGCCAACAGCAGGCAGAAAAGGTTCTCTGTGGTGATTAAATGAAAGCAGTTTCGTTTTGAAAGTGTTAAAATTTACAAGCTATTCCTTGCCCCAGTTAACTACTGATTGAAGGCCCTTTCCATGAGTAGTTGCCAGTTTTATTTTGTCAGATCTGTCGAACTTGCTACTAAGTAAATAGTTGTATCATCTGTATAGATATCTAGTTAGGAACTGATGACATCAGGAATGTCATTGATGAAGATCAGAAACAGCACAGGTCTAATGATAGAGCCTCAGGAACACCTATATTAATATGAAATGAACTAGAAGCATGTACATTCAACATGAACTTCATTACCTGATTTGTTAGCAACAATTGGATAAAGCTAAAGATATTGTAGCCCTTGATCTTGTGGATAAGACCAGTATTCCAAATCCTGTCGAAGACTTTGAGATATCTAGGGCTAAAGCTTAAGCTATTCTTATCTAAAGCTTGATAGACAAATTCAGTGATGGCTGTTCACACATCTGTTATAGATCTGGAGAAACAGAAGCCATGTTATTTATCTGAAAGGTCATGTGAAGCAAGATGCTTAACCAATTTAGCATTGATTAGAGCTTCAAATACGTTGACAAAAAGAGGTGAAAGACTAATAGGATAATAATTTGAGAGGTCAGAAGGTTTCCCAGAGTTCTTAAAGTCAGGAACCACAGAAGAGGACTTCCAACAAGTTGAAAAGCAAGACGCAGCGAGACAGTCATTGTAAAGTTTGGAAAAAGTTCAGGACAATTGCAGGGATACCATTGAATCTGCAAGCCTTGTAGGGATCTAATTAAGAAAAGACAGCAGAAACCATGGACAGAGTTATACGCATATCACTCAGTTCTAGGGGGAAAATCAGAGAGCGATACTCCAGATAAGTTGAGAGTGGAGTTAGAAGAGAATTTCTGGGCAAAGGCCTGTGCTTTATCTGCAGTCGATGATAACACCTCAAATTGATTGAAAAGAGGATGGATTTCTGAGAGACTGTACAGCGTCTCATTCTATCAGCAAATAGTGATTTTGCATCTTTGAGGGCACGCTTAAATTCATTATGAGTGATAACAAAGAGACATCTGTTACAATTGGACCTGTTGCTCTAGTATAGCCAAAAGAAGAGATTCCTGTATACTATACCAATGAATAGGCAGGAGAGAACCAAGAAAACTTTTGTTTTACTTGGTATTTCCATGCTGGCTCGGTGGCTTTGGTGCCAGCTTTCACCAAGGAAGAGACCTCAGTTGCACACTTCTCAACAGATAAAAAAACATCAATTAATAATTTTAAAATATTAAAATATCAATACAAGAGGGCATCAAAATGGAAATCATGAAGTTTATCTTTTTGCTGTCTCTTCTAATCCCTGTTCTGTCAAACATTTAGAAAAGATTTGTAAAAGCTCTCAATTGCAAAACAATTCTTTTTTTAATTTATTTACTCAATCAAAAATGATCTAATAAATAATTCAAACTATCTTGGTTCTTGTTCCAGTATTTTAGCCAATGTATTCTTGTTGGTTTTTGTTATCCTCAAATGTTATTTAAAATTTTCAGGTAGAAGTGCTTGGACATATTAAAGTGTCCCAATTTCTAAGATAGCAAGACTCAAAAGAAAATCTCATGGATGACATTCAAGGTTTACTAGGCCATATACACTTGAGGAAGGCTGAAGAACATATCAGTTAAGTTTCTGAAAGAAAAATGATAAAGATGAGAATGTTTAAATAATTTATGGAATATTTTAAAAGTATTTCACCTGTATCAGCAGAAAAATATTTTGCTCTTGTGTTATCTGATAAGGGAAATAGATTCACAGGGATAGGATTGATGCAAATGGGGCAAGGTTATCTGCTAATAAAGAAAATGGCTGACTGACATTAAGAGAAATGGATGCAGTCAAGATTGACTGCTAATAAGAAAAATGGATGCATTGGGAGGCAAGATTGACTGCTAATAAGAAAAATGGATGCAGGGGGTGGGGCAAGGTTGACTGCTAATAAGAAAAATGGATGGGGGGGCAAGGTTGACTGCTAATAAGAAAAATGGATGGGGGGAGGTTGACTGCTAATAAGAAAAATGGATGGGGGGGAGGTTGACTGCTAATAAGAAAAATGGATGCGGGGGGAGGTTGACTGCTAATAAGAAAAATGGATGCGGGGGGGAGGTTGACTGCTAATAAGAAAAATGGATGCAGGAGGGGGCAAGGTTGACTGCTAATAAGAAAAATGGATGCAGGAGGGGGCAAGGTTGACTGCTAATAAGAGAAATGGATGAAGGAGGGGGCAAGGTTGACTGCTAATAAGGAGAGATGCAGGTGGGCAAAGTTATCTGTGTATAAAAGAGTTGGATATATGCTGGATCACGGTTGCTTTAAATGATTGAAAACCAATGGATGTTGAAATTTTTGGTAATAAATAATATTGTACACATCATTTAATCATTAGAGAACTGATATTCATCTGTTTATTTAAAATCAAAACTAATTTAAAATTTGATTGATTTTGTCAGTGAGAGTATCTTTATAGATCATTTAAGCAACAGGGGCACAATCCACACTAAATCGAAGTGTAGGATTAAGCTGCTGTATTAATGACCAATGGCAGTACAAGTTCTGATGGATTTGAAATTCAAATGATCTTTAATACAAGGTTTAGAAAATGAGGGTAAGTTTTGTTCTTATCATTTTGCAGATTTCTGTTGAATATAAAAAAAAAAAAGATTTAATTTACCTGGCTTCCATAAATAAAGGAGTAGAATTCCACTTGGCATTCAAGTTAATCTGAACAAAATTAGCTTTGCTGTCAATATGGCTGACAAGTAATAAGACTGTTATTCCCACGGTGGCAGCACAAAGGACAGTCTGGAAATTAAAAATAAAAGAAATAAATATCATTTTGATGAAAAAAAAAAAAAAAAAAAGAAGACAACAGACTTAAATATTCTTTGAACAAACTACATGACATTTGCATAAAATGCAAATTTTTTTTTATTGTTCCTGTATGTGTGCAGATATTGGTTTGGAATGAGAGACCAGAGTTCAAATTCCAGTTGGGTTTGTTACATTCCCTTAAGCACAAATATTTTTGGGAATGTTAGACATTTTCATGACGGTCGTCCTCGAGTATCGAATCCAGAGGTTGGCAGTGTCATGAAAATGTCTAACAGGGAAATGCATGAATCCATCTCTTCCCTACACCCCCCTCCCCAGCAGAAAGTAATGGCAATCTACTTTGGGAAAAAAAACTTCTGCTTAGTTTGTATCTTTTGATACATGATCACTCAAGCATATGACGTGGGACTGACTGACTGAAATAGGTGTGGTAACAAAACTTTCACACCTGGTATACTTGATTGAAGATGATGTTTTGCATGCAATACACTACAATTTTACCTCCAAGAAAAAGTCACAAATGATATTTATGATAGAGACATTGCAGAATTTACAAACATATTCAGGCTAAGTTTAAAATTAAAACTTAAAATATTACAAAACAAAAGTTTATATAAAGTTCAACATTATACTTTTTTTTAACTTTAGAACTTCTGCTCAAAAAAAATAAAAAAACAATACAACATCCAGATTTTCTATGAAGTCACAAGTAGATGTGAGCATTTCATTAAAACTTGTAATGTAATTCTGCACGACAAAATGAATAAAAAATAAATAAACCTACAATATCCAGATTTTCTATGAAGTCTGGATTATATGTGAACATTTCACTAAAACTCAAGGAAAACGTTTTGTGTCACTGTGACATAGGGTCCAAATGTTAAAACAAATATTTGCCAATGTGATGGAATTAGACAGTAGAAATATAGAAGTATTAAAGACAAAATTTCATATACTGACTAAATTAATGCTGTCTAATAAATTAGTTCATAGTATCAATAAACCAAATTTCATGATAGAATCCCTGATCTCTTACTATTTTCCTACCTCCTAGTGAGCATATACCTTAAAGTACTAAATAATCCTACCAAGCTATGACCGTTAGAAAATGCTGTACTCAGTAAAAATTATTTAAGATATAATTTCATAAAGAATTCCAAGACAATATGCCAAGATTGTATTGCTTGCTATGGTTAAATTCCAAAGCTGACTAATTCAGTTGAGATGACATTTAAGACATCAGATTTCAATCTCTCCACCCATTCACAGTGTCAAATTGTTACATAAAAAGCACATTTGAATATTTAAGAATGTCATTTGAGCAGATGAAAAAAAAAAAAAAAAAAAAAAAATATGGTAATATATCTAAAAGACCGGTGCATTTTTCAGACTTACAATTTCACCAACTCCCTAGATTAACTTTTAGAGTTTTGGTTTAAATACAAATTCCGCATGGGAATTCAGCAGCTTACTGTGGAAACAGAAAGAAAAACAAATAAAAAACAGGCTTAAGACGTCCAAGAAACCAAAGTAGACATGAGGTGATTTTCTCCATATCCATTTCTATTGAAATTATTTGGTAGCAATATTATGTATGTTGAACTTGTAGAATTATCATGAAAACAAATCAAATACCAAAAATAAACAAGGAATTTATTTTTTCCCTAAACAAATTATGCAAATTGACTTTATTAGCAATTATTCTGCATGAGATTTTCAGAGAAATAACATAGATAACTTTTCTTTTTCTTAAATCTTAAATTAATAAGAAATTAATATCCATTATTTGGTTGTCAAATTATCATTAGTGAAAGGAAAGTATATCTACACGGGGAAAAAAAAAAAAAAAAAATAGTAGAACCAGCTTACATCTAGCCTGGTGGGTTAAAACTTATCAGGTCACAGTGTGCAGTGGTGAACAAGCTATCTCTCTGGACATTGCTTATGAGTTCAATCTTCACTAGGATCCCTCCAAATTGTGGCCTTGGGTTAAGCTGAACTTAGTAATATTAAACCAGAGAATTGTACTCACATTTAGTTACATCTTAAGCATTTCTACTATTATTAGAACCAAGCATAAAAAAATTTAAGCCACCATTTAAGCAACTCAAGTATAAATTCTGTGCAAAAATTAAGCAACCCAAATTCTGGTCAAAATCCTAAATTGCTTATAGCAGAAAAAAAAAAGTTCTGTTACGCTGAAATAAGAATCCAAAACAATCACCTAAAAAGAGGCATGAAAATGCCCAGTCGACTTTATGAGTGTACAATGAAAAAAAAAAAAAAGAAAAATTAAGAGTGTGCACTGAAAACATCTGGAAAACCAAAATTCCAACCAACAACAGACAATACTGAATATTTAAGCATTGGCATTTTAGCAATAATGTCTTGCTGTGTGTTACTGCATGTAGCAGAAACAGGTGTCACACAAACTACTGATCACCTGACATTAACTATTTCTCATTTTATATATATATATATATATAGACATACATATGATAGATAGATAGAGATGGGGGGGGGGTTATGACAAAGTGGAAAGTTTTCTTGATACGTTTTGTCTTTTAAGACTTCAGACTAAATTTATCAAGAAGTTCTAAAGGATGAAATGCGTCACATAATGTGGCATTTTTCCACTTGTTATAATCCCCCCCAATATTGTATATATTTTATATACTGATATATAAAAACATTGTTATCGCATACCATTATATATATATATATATATATATATATATATACTTATTTATTCAAAAATTATAACATAAGCATGTTATAACATCACTACAAAAATAGCCATTTTGTTTCAACACTTCTGGTGTCTTATCAAGTGATGGTGTTGATTGCGAAATAAAGAGTTTTTTTTTTTGAAAATTCAAAGCCATATCCACCCCCCTCAATAGGGGAAACCTTGTTACGTAACCTATGACGACCAGTCAGAATAGAGGTATATGAAAATTCAAAAAACATGATAGTGTATTTTAAATACAAACCATTAGTTGATCAAATTTAATGTTAGACTAAACTAGAAATCAATATGAAATAATTAAGTTTTAATTTCATGGTAAAATTAAAAATTACGAATTTCAAATTCTAAATTAAACCGAGCATTAGGTTTAAAAAAGTACAAAGTTATTCAAAAATGGAATGAAAAAAATATATTATATATATATTATTACTATTCTTAGTTACATGCCAATTTATCTGGTAAATTTGACGTTGATGTGAAAAGTATCAATAAGCACTACAACCCTAAGGTACGAGTGAGTTAGACAATGTAGACAACCCAAGAAACACATTCATATCCTAATACACAGACATATAAACATATATGCATGCAAATATAAGAGCAACACAGGAAATAGAAAAAAACGAAAGAAAGAAAAAGAAAAACAAAGAGGAAAAGGAAAAAATTCAAAAAAATATGTAGATAGTTAGGTGGGTATGTAGGAAGGACAGATAGATAAGTTACATTCAGGTAGCAAGAATTCGTCCAAACAAGATTTGTTAAGTTCAATTGATAAGATCTGTTTTATTTTCTATTATATTTTTTCCAATTTTTTTAACAAGAAACTGTACATCAGGATCAAAATTTCTTTGGTTTATTTTTGCTCAAGTGCATGGTAGACAAAGATTTGTTGACAATATCTTGGCATTTCTTTGGAATGCTGAAATTCAATTAATATTTGTTTCATCTTAAAAGTTTTATTTTGGCTGTTTGTAATGAGAAAATTGACAAGTTACAAGTTAACCTATGAGAGTGTGTGGTGCATGTGTAGCCAATGCAAAAATTTAATGTTTTTTTGTTATTGAAATTTATGTGGGGGTACATTGAAAGGGAACAACTCTTTAATATAAATTTATGATCTCTTCATAAGTGAAGTTACTTCCCCCAAACTATTTTTTGGGAAAAAAAAAGAAAATTAAATATGGCTGGATTTTCTGAGAGTTGTTAGTTAAAAAGTTGAAATTATATTTCATATATATAAATAGATATATATTCTAGCATTAAATACAACCAATTCTGTTTGCAATTGAAAAAGAATATTTCAATCAAATTCAATGGAGATGTGAAATAAAAACAAAGAACCATCTTAAAAAAAAAAAAAAAAAAAAAAAAAAATCTGTTGAAGAAGCAGATGATGGCGGGGGGAGATTATGTTGGTTTGGTAAACCAATATTGATAACCTACAAGCATAATTTCAGAGTGAACTTCATCCTTTGTACACCAACATTTACTGATGGAAAATTCACACACACCGAGTGGATACAAGGGTCTGTAGAGACCTCTAGTTTTTTTTTTTTAAACAGTTTAATTTCCATCTTCTGGCCTTGTTTTTTTTTTATGGTGTTTGGAGTGATCACTAGTGATGGCAAAGTTATGCCTCCATTCATCTTCCCACAGGGTCTCAGACTCAACACAGAGATCTACATCAAGTGCCTTGAGGGGGTAGTGTTGCTCTGGGTCAAGAGGGTTGCTGCTGGAAGACCCTATGTCTGGCAACAGCACCCTGCACCATACCACACAAACAAAAGAACCTGGTCATAGCTGTCAGACAATTTCAGTGACAACATAACCTGTTAAATCTGGCCACCTAACTCCCCAGACTGCAACCCTCTTCAGAATGCAGGTGAGTGAAAGACCAACAAAAAAGAAATTATAATGCCAAAGATGAACTGAAAGCAAGAATTATGTCAGCATTCACCAACTGAAACAAAGAAACTGCCCAGAAGAGTTGCAAGAGATTCCAAACTTGTCTGGAGGCTGTTGTTGAAGCCAATGGTGATTCTATTGAGTAAATTTATTCTTCAGTATTTCAAGAGATTTTTGTGTAATTTTGATAAATATATATTAAAATGAAATGTCCGTGTTTTCATTTTTATGCAATATAAACAGCAATTCATCCATCACAACGACGGACTTTATCAAGGTAAATGTAAGGGTTTTATTTAAAAACAAAAGTAAAATA